CCTGGGGGGGGGGGGTCGTACCTTTCGGCAACGCCTACCCACTCGTGTGCGCTCTGATGTACGTTGCCGCCATTTGTTTTGGTCGAATTCGTATGACCAGCACAGGCGGCGCAGGGTTCGCCTTTGTATCGAGTATTTCTCTGCCATGGCCCCATCATGATGTGAAGTGCGTGCTTTCCCGCCGACGTTTCGCTACTACCAACGCCTGTCCTCACGACTGCTTACGTGACAAGGCTCGCCGCGTTCCTGCTGTGGCGCGAAGCTGACGAAAGAACAAAGAGTCCTTGTGATATTATCAGCTGTTCGTTGACGAAACCACTTGATCTTCAGACCAAGCCGTTCGGTCGCGCGCGTCTCCCCACTCTATGGCATAAATAGCGACGTCTCGCCATGGGGTTCCTAAACTTTCTGAACCGGAGACCGAAGGATGATGGGAAATCAGACGGCTCCTTCAGGCTCCAAAACGGCAATCCATTGGCCACAGCATCAGTGCCAAGTAAGCTCGTTCGAATGCTCCCACAGCTCAGGCAGTGCTCACAAGTTTCTGGCAGGTGTTGCAGTGCACAGCCCAGTACGACAATCATCTCTCCAAGACATGCAAAGGGCTTCAGTCGGTACCAAGAGGAGGCAGAAATGGGCCGGCTCGACGAAGCCATATTCCTTGGGAGCCCGCAGCGACCGACCAAGCACAGCCAAATCGGAGGGACGGCCAGGCTTGGCAAGACCGTCTTCAAGTCGGAGTAGGGTGTGTCTGATTGCCGAGTCGGACTCGGCATCATCAGCACTTGCCAACCCGCCCATTACTGCTTCCAGGTCATATTCATCTACGCGGACGCCTGGATATGTCGATCTTCTCGACGCGCAAGGTGGACTCAGGCCGTACGACTTCCGCGCTCGTGTACAAGCAGCTGGGGCGAGAGACTACGGCGAAGACGTTGCGGAACGTAACATGGGTGAGAATGGCGTTGATGTCCGGAGTGCTGCTGCACAAGTGTTCTACGAGCAAAAAAGGCGAATGTCTGTCACGACTTTTTCCAGCATGAGCCATATTTTAGAGGCAGATGCTTCTACATATGCCGGTAGTGAAGCGGGCGATAGTATGAGCCAAATCGAGCGTTCGGTGTATTCACCAACTAGGTCATTGTCCAGGTATTCAATGGATCCGAGGCAAGAAGTCAGTGCATTGGCCGTTGGCACATCTACAACGCTTGAAAACACCAAGAGGGCAGTCAAATCTCCCAAGTTGGCATGCAAAGGGACGGGGCAGGCGGCCAGTCCTCGTCGAGACCAACCTCTCTCAACCCCAGCCAGCCACCTGCAGCCTCACAAACGAAACAGTTCCCGTGGACGGTCACCGTCGACCAGAAATTGGATCTCGACCGAACAACCGGTCGCTGGAAAGACGCGAAACGACCGTTGGGAATCCCGGCATCTTAGTGTCAGCGAATCACGAGCCAGGTCTCTTTCGCCCCCTTCTGTCCCTCGATATCGACCAGATAGTAGCATGACTACCATGCACGAAGAGGACGACCGTTCTGACTCCATGTCACAACCCATCCCACGGAGAGATGACGTCCGGAATGACAGTACCGGGGGCAGACAGAAATCGGACGAGGAACATTCCGAGTACGACATTCCGTCGCCACGTAAGTAGCAGGTTCCTTACACGTCGAATTTTGTTGTAACTGAATGCTTACTTCCTTTCAGGCCGCACTCATCCGCCGTACCACTTGGATGCCGCACCAGCTGCTTCGCCGCAATACCATGCAGAGTGGCAAACTGCAATCCAACGTGCCGTTGAGGAATCCCTAGCCAAGCTGCCACTCTCGGCGGATCTGAAGGCACTCATGGAACTGACACAGGGCGGGACTTCCCTCGACGATATTCTCCGAGGAGTACCCCTTCGCCATTCTTCGCTGCATCAAGGTTCTATTATGAGTACGACGCCAACGACAGACTTTTCCGACTACGCAAGCAGCCACACTGGACGCCCTCACAGCCGGCATACTGCTACTACGTCTATTGATTCCTCTGCGAGAATAGATGTGCACCACAAGAGCGCACTGAGCACTCAAGAAGACAAAAGCTTCTTAGGGGACCAGTGGCAAGGTTCACCGCAACTCACGTCAGTAGACGACGAGGAGGAGCCCGCGGGTACGGATACGTCAACTGCGCCGACTCCTCCATTGAAGAGGACGCAGAATATCAAGACAGGCATTCTAGATGATGGCATCATGGAACTGGAGGAGTATGAATGCTTAACGTCGGACTACTCTGATGTCGATTCCTTCACTGAGAAACGTCGGCAAGTACTCGACGACGATGAGACCAAATTATTCAACGACGGGGGCTTTGGGGATATCAGCAACAACCTTCCTGGTATTGTGAGCGCGCGGGAGCCTAAGAATTGCATGATTTGTATCATCTTGGCCAACATGCAGGGGCGTCCTGTGGAAACAGAGCCGTGTACGCATGATGGATCAATGACACGAAAGCAACGTCTTCGAGCCTTGGGGTATGATTACGACTCGGAAGATAGTGACACAGAACGCGACTCGGCGTCGACCAAGGGCCGGGCCAGAACCAAGAAGCTTACAGCTGGGAGCAATGGCGGCCTGCGCCGCCTGAAGCTTGTGGATGACCGCATTGACGAAGCTAGCGAGGAAGAGGGAGGCGAGACTACGTCGAACAGGAAATGGCCAGAGCTAAGAAGAAAGTCGAAGTTTCCCCAAGGAAGAACAGGTCCCGTCATGCGACAACAAGGCGAAGCAGAGTATGCTACAGACACGGAATAATGTCTGACGGGCTTGAAGCAAAGGGCCGGGCTGGCAAGACCCTTATGGCATTCTTTTTAAAACTTTTCATTTCTTTTTCCTTGATGTATTTTTTCTTCTTCTTCTTCTTTTTCTTCTTCTTCTTCTTTTTCTTCTTCTTCTTCTTCTTCTTCTTCTTCTTCTTTTTCTTCTTCTTCTTCTTTTTCTTCTTCTTCTTCTTTTTCTTCTTCTTCTTCTTTTTCTTCTTCTTCTTCTTTTTCTTCTTCTTCTTCTTTTTCTTCTTCTTCTTCTTTTTCTTCTTCTTCTTCTTTTTCTTCTTCTTCTTCTTTTTCTTCTTCTTCTTCTTTTTCTTCTTCTTCTTCTTTTTCTTCTTCTTCTTCTTTTTCTTCTTCTTCTTCTTTTTCTTCTTCTTCTTCTTTTTCTTCTTCTTCTTCTTTTTCTTCTTCTTCTTCTTTTTCTTCTTCTTCTTCTTTTTCTTCTTCTTCTTCTTTTTCTTCTTCTTCTTCTTTTTCTTCTTCTTCTTCTTTTTCTTCTTCTTCTTCTTTTTCTTCTTCTTCTTCTTTTTCTTCTTCTTCTTCTTTTTCTTCTTCTTCTTCTTTTTCTTCTTCTTCTTCTTCTTCTTCTTCTTCTTCTTCTTCTTCTTCTTCTTCTTCTTCTTCTTCTTCTTCTTCTTCTTCTTCTTCTTCTTCTTCTTCTTCTTCTTCTTCTTCTTCTTCTTCTTCTTCTTCTTCTTCTTCTTCTTCTTCTTCTTCTTCTTCTTCTTCTTCTTCTTCTTCTTCTTCTTCTTCTTCTTCTTCTTCTTCTTCTTCTTCTTCTTCTTCTTCTTCTTCTTCTTCTTCTTCTTCTTCTTCTTCTTCTTCTTTTTCTTCTTTTTCTTCTTCTTCTTCTTCTTCTTTTTCTTTTTCTTTTTGCCGTTTCCTGAAGCAAGGGACAGTGGGATACATATATACGCCTTTACGAGAACGTGGGGAAATGGTTTTCGTTTTTTCGTTTTTGCAGGATTTAGCGATGCGCACGGGAATCGGCCGACTTGGTGGACTGGCCACTACTTATACCCAACACAAATTTCCCTTTTCCTTTGTCTTTTGACCAGGCATGAAACACATGTTCCGTTGGTACAGACGGGCGTTCATTCGGATTCTCGACATGACGAGGCTGTGGTGATGTCTTGATTCACCAGGCGACAACGAACAAGACCGTGTGTGTCCATGCCGCGGGCGCAGATACGTGATAGCGGCGCAGCTGACAATTTCAATATCCATGTAGCACTGTACCACTCGGGAGTCTGGGAGCACAAGAAACCCGCACAAGCAAGGGCCAAGGAAAGTCAGATTGCAACCTTGCTCCGTACCAGGTTCGTCTGAGACACGTGCGTACATACATGCATCCGTCGGTGATTCCAGACCAGACCACCGGGTCGCCTGCCGAGGCAAGCCAAGACCAACCAGCAAGGCCCAAGAGTCAAGACGGACGAAGCAAAGCGCGAGTCCTAGTGACGGTGTTGCAGAGATCTGGGACGGCGAGGGCGGCTGAGGAGGCAGACATGGGAACCCCATCGGCTTGCGCTCCGTGGCGGATCGACAGGTCGAGCGGAGGGAGCCAGCCAGGGAGGACAGGATTCAGGAGCTGGCGTGGCCAAATAGAGTTCGGACGGTGGGTGCACAGGCAATCACGGGCAATCACAGCCTACAGGGGCCTCTGGCAGGGTGGCACTGGCCTCAGCGGCGCTTCAGCTGCCGAGGACGCTGAAGCCTTGGGGAAATGGCCTGCCTCGACGCAGGCGGAACCAACCAGTGTAAGAAAAAGAGTGGGGCCCGAGGTGTTGCGTGCCAAATTTATCGAACCGTAAATAGGTAGCCTTATTCTAAGTTACCGCCTTGGTCTGCCTAGGCCCTCTAGGGACTTGCATGTACATGATTTTCAAGAGAGCGCACAGTGCCAGTTTCTCCGCCTCATCAATGCTCCAGATCAACGAACGTCACGGCATTGCGGATCCAACAGACTCGACACGTCGGTGGATCTGCTTTGAGCTGGTCGCTGAGGACGATGCTCTCATCATCGCACGCGTTCGACTGCCGCGCCACCCTGATGCCCTACCAACAAACAGTAGGTGAAGAGGACGAGCAATATTCAATCGCGTGCGACATGTCCGCGGTCCGTTTCGTGAGGCAGAGACTCTCTACTGGAGTGGTATAATGTAATCCTGTTTTACCTGCCCATGATGCCGAGAAACTAGTTGCAACGAGTTGCGACAACAAAAAAAAAGGAGAGACCTAGTTACATGATACAAGTGTGCATGGAATGCAAAAGAAATGCGTGACAAGTCGCAAACAGCACACGGGGCGGGATATTTACACGGCCGTCCGCTTGTCTGCTTGCATGCTTAGAGCGAGCAGTTCGTCGACAAACGCGGACTCCAGGGCCTTGGCGTGGCCCGGCATCTTGGTCTCGCCCGTAGCGGTGGCAGTGTAGTAGTTGCCCAACTTTCTCTGCGTGTCGGCCTGGGAGCGTCCATGTTTCGGCTCGGAGCCCTGTTGTTGGAGAACCTGTGTGTCGGGGCTGCTCCCTTCTTTTGTCTGCATTGTTGGGTGTTGAGTTAGAATGCAGCTGCTTATAGACACGTCTGTGGCGGGCGGATGGGGTCGTGACGTACCTCGTGGACCTTGATCGATATCTCTTGTGATACCATGATGCCGCCAAAGGCGTGGGACTGCTTATCTTGGCTTTTGTGCTTGGGAGCCTCCTTGGCAGCAGGGGAGAGGCCCGGCGCAGGGGGCTTCAGGGACTCGTCGAAGCTTCCGTCGTCGCCGTTGTACAGCGAGCTGGGCTGCGACGTCGCCTTGGACAGCTCTTCTTGGCTCTTGGTAGGCGCCAGCGAGATGGCGGACGCGTTTTGCCGCCGGCCAAGTGCGTGACGTGGGAACCTGCCCATGGCCCGGGAGAGGAGCCTGCTGCCGAGCGTTGGTGCCGAGCTGGACTGGCCGGCGGACATGTCGTGCACCGTTGACGACATGTCACGGTGGACCATGTGCGAAAACTCGACGTGGTGGGAAGAGCCCTCGTATGTGAGCTGGCGCATCTTGAAGAAGCTGAGGGACGTGAACTCGCACGAAGCCAAGGCGACGCCTGCGTGAATCGGCAGCACGAGCTGGAAGGCGATAAGGGTGCATGTTGAGAGAGATTTGCCTTCGACGGCACCGGCGCAGGGCAGCTGGACTTCCTTGGGCAACAAGGTCGCCTCGTCAAAGGCCTCGTCGCCGAGCAAGTCTTGCAGCGCCGAGATGCCGTCTCCGAGGGCGGCAACAAAAGCTGCCTCCTGCGGCGAGTTGGCCTTGTGGTTCCTCAGCTTGAGCAGAACCGTTGAAAGCGCCATGCCGCGGATGGTGTCCAGGAACCCGACTTGCAAGGGCTCAAGCTGCTTGATACTCAGGGGAACGGACGGCAGCAGGTTCCTGGCCGTCTTTTGAGCGAGCACGTCGAAGCCGCCCTTGTGAAGGCGCGCGCGCACGGAGAACATGCCCACATGGACGCCGGGAGTGAGCATGCTGGACTTGTCCTTCTGGCTGGCCATGTTTTGCAGCCGAGCCTCCAGGTCGGGCGTCTTGATTTGCATGCTGGATCGAATCGCGCCGGCAACCTGGTGGACTTCGGCAAATCGGTACCCGGCCGCTTGGAGCTTATCGACCTCTCGCTTGCTTTCGACCTGGCGAACAAGGAACATGAGGCAACCACGGCCGTATTCTTGGTCATTGTGCTGGAACCCCTTTTCTGCCACGTTGAGCTCGTCTTTGCGCGTCTTTTGCCAGGTGCCTGGAGCCTTGGATGAGTCACCAGTAACAAAGATTTCGTCCCACAGGGTTCCGACTCCCGTGAGAGTCTCCTTGGTCTTTGTGGCGAGGGCGTCTGCAGTCACGCAAAAGAGCTCTCTCAGAATGATGTCGTAGTCTTCTACGAGGACGCCGTCGTCGCCGATGAGTCTGACGCCTGCCCTACCAATGTTGCGCTCCTGGGCGAGGAAAGCGACGTGGCTGGCCATCTTGTCCATGACTTTGGCAATGGTATCCCAGTTTCGAGAGGCGCGGAACATCCAGTGGAAGAGAGGGTGGCTTGTGTTGAAGACGTCATCATTGGACTGCCGCTGTTGTTAGCCAGTACCGAGGGATACGAGAAGCGATGACGGGACGAGGCCAACCAACCTTGGGCAAGTATGTGTCTGTGACGACTTCACTTGGCAAGTAACCGTCCTGATTAAGCATGATGCGGCCCTTGTCGTCAAAGACGCCGGCCGCCAAGACGACTTGCTGAGACTTGCTGGCGTATTCTCGTCTCACCCAGCCAGAGTAGACGGCCATACCAGTCATGACTACGCCAGCAGCGATAGACTTATCCCCCCTCGCAAGTCAGCAGGACAGCTCTTGACGCCCACAGCTCCCAGACGGGCAGGGCAAGCTTACCAGGCAAATAACGATGACCATGGCATCCTGACGGGATACCTCCTTGGTCTTGGTGCGTCGGGTCATTGTATATCGCGTGCCGACAGCCGCACACCAATGCATGCCAGACACGGCTCCCGCGAGGACCACGGCACAACCCAGCCGTTTCCACCAGGCATTGTTCCATGTATTTTCAAAGACGAAGAAGAGCGCGAGAGCAGTCGTACTGGCAAGGACCGAGATGATAATCGAGCCAATCAGATAAGACAGTTTGTAAGAGGCATCGTAGTTGCTGATGGAAGCGTCCGCCAGATAGTGCATCCCGGAAATGGCGCCTCCAGCGAGCAACCCGGCCATGGCAATTCGCCACCATCGAATTCGGCTGCTCCCACTGACACCCAGGAATGCGAGAATGAGCACGAAGATGGGGACGAGCAGAGACATGACGGTTAGGGTGGTGGAGTAGGCGATCTGGAAGGCTTCGTCGCCGTCAAGCATGTAGATGGCTCGGTTGCCGATGAAGTGCTAAGTGGAGCATAGTATGTCAGTGATCAGCCCGTCGATTCTCTCCTCCAAACAAACATCAGGTACGGCGTGTGACGCAACGAAGAGCTTGCATGTAATGGTGTTGGTGTACCGTACCATTGACCAAATAGCAATACCGCCCATGCCAATAGCCGCGCCGATGAGTAACAATCTGGTCCACGAATGTCAGCAACGTCGCGTCACTCTCCGTGACTAAGGAGGCAGCAGGTCTTGTCACCACGTACAGGTTATGTATTCCTCTGTGATGCGTTCTCTTCCTAATCAACTCGAGAGTTGTGCTCGTGCCAACCAAGCTAATGGCAAAACTCAAGCTCACAAATCCCGCGTTGAAGGAATACGGCACCATCTTGCCCGTATAGTCCTCCAGCAACTGTTGCGTCGAATGGGTAGCCATCTTTGTCTCACACACTGCCTGCCAGCGACGTAGAAAGATTGACAGCACAAGACAGAGACAGACGTGGTAATCGACCCGGATGCATGTCCTAAACTAAAATTTAGACGCAATCGGGAACCAACTGACTGGTCTCGCGAGGAACAGAGCTACCATCACAACTTATATGAGGAGCGGGGTGGACATCGGGGGAGTGTGCCTGATATATCTATTACATAGCATCGGTTAAGCCAGGGAGCACAAAGGCTCAACCACGGGACCGGGACCGTGCAACATCGCCCTTTGCATGATGGAGAAGAGACCTACGAAATTTGTGCCGTGTGTATGTGCGATGCGATGCGAGACGGTATAATACGATGCCATAACTAGCGCCAGTCGGTCCCGTGCGGGTGGATGAGCCATTGTGCCCATCGTACTTACTTTGTTTCCAGCATTGTTACGATACGTGACCGAACGGAAGAACCGCGTAGATGATACGTGGGGTCCAAACTTTGTGCATCATCCGCGTGGCGGTAGAACAGCGCTCAGGTCGCGCGAATTGGGTCCGGGTGAAAGACGAGGTGACGGACACAGACATGTGCCCAGAGTGCGTATCAGGAAACTGGTGGTTCTTCCTTTCCTTCTTGAGGCCGATGAGGACTTCGGGTCGGCAGTCCACACCGGGAGGTACGTGGCACTTTGACCAAAGGTGATGGGATGGACTTGATGGAGGCTGACGGTCCCACGAAACAAAGCAGCCAACAAGAGACATGTTCCTATAAACGGTCCCATACAATAGAATAAAGATGGTGCTCTGCCGCAACAACGGTTATCCCTGCCGCCCCGTTGGCCGCCCCGTTCGCCCTCCACCGGCAGTGCCGGGGGCGGATCGTAGAGTCTGGATGTTTGCTGGTCGTTGACTCGTCTTTGCCGCCCGTCATTCGTCTGTTCCCAGCTTCGTCCCTGGAAAAATAACCGAGGCCCTGGTAACCAACCAGTACGGAGTACACTACCAGTACCTGTGTGGGCGTGGCTGTCAAACTCTACCGGGAACCGCGGCCATACAAGTTGTGAAGCTCTGAAAAGCGAAAAGCCACAGCTCGGCCAAACCGCTTTGGGCAGCCAGTCCAAGGCACGGGCCCTTGTTCACGCAAGAATAAGTCGACGCCAGCTTATCGAAAAAAGAACGCATATGGATAATGGGTGCGGCTGAATCGGGGCTCAAGGACTCACAGGACGTAGTTGGTAGCTTGAGGCGGAGTTCGCGCCCGCTACCTGACTGGCAAATAGCCCAAGGTGGAAGAGGCAAAGAGAAAACAAATTGTCCGCCTAGGAAGTGCGTTGCAGAGATGTTTACGACAAAAACAAAGTTGCCCCGCGAGTCGGTTCGCAAACCGCGATCGATGCCCGCGGGGCAAAGGAAAAAAGTAAACCCCTGGTGACCAGCCAGCTGGCGAGCTTGGTTTGCTTACGTATACATAAAGGTGGTCCCTCGGAGCTAGCACGGATTCTGCCCAAGGAAAAGCAGAACCACGAACCACGAACAGCAAACAACAAACCACGCCTGGCTTCAGTCTTGATCGCGGGCGACACATACGTCGAGAATGAGACGGCTCTACAAGACGCAACAAGACGCAATTCTTGCTCCTTTGGGCTAATGGAAACCTTGCAAACGAGGGGACCGTGCAGTTGCATACCCTATGGCCTTCACCAAGAGATGCCCAGGTGTCGACGCCACGATTTGCTTCGACCTCTTGACCATCACTTTGGAATGTGATTCGCGGCGACCTACCCAGGCAGCTATGCGTGGGCAAATACGGACTACTCCGTATGTATAGAGCAGAATCACAAGCTGACGATGGCGGCATGACCTTTCGTTTTGCCGCCGCTCAGATCGAGTTAGAGTTGGCCGAAGCCGGGATGATCCCCCGGCGGGATTTCCTTTTTTTTTTTTTCCTTTTTTCCTCCCTTTTTCTCTTCAGTGCGGCGCGGTCATGGCATACGTGCAAACGCAGACGACCAGAGGAATGGTGGTTCCTTTCTTTTCCTTCTTTTTCACCTTGCCTCCCAGTTTTACCAGTCATGTCACTTGTACGTAAGATATGCCTTGTTACCGCAGATTTCGGACTCGGGACGAATGATGATGCTGGGCGACTGGAGGAGTCGGTCCGCTTCGATGCAACCTCATGTCGACGTTGGCTGTCAAAAGAGGGTAGATAAGACCCTGGGGTTTACCCCAATCATCAGCCGACCCCGGCTCCTTGTTTGGCTGCAATGACATGTACTAGTTAATATAATTTACCGAGTGTCCTTGGTCTCGACTCTTGACTGGCTACGTATGCGTGCGGGCGTCTCTGTCGCATCTCGCAGACCACTGCCGCGAAACAGACCAGTAGACACCATCTCTAGCAGTCGACAACACCAAGGCCAGATGTGCGGACATGCTCAACGTTCCCAACTCTGGCCGTCGCGTCTCTCCCCTCCGCTCACTCCGCCAACCTGGGCGTCGTATCGCGGGAAGTATGCTTCATCCGGCCTCATGGACCAAGAGTCTCTCGTCAAACGGGCGACGGAGGTTCCCCCATCATTACCAAATCCAATAGTCCAAGTCTAGGCCTGACCAGCACTGGCAATCGGTGAGAACAAACGAAAGCACAAAAAGAGAAGGCCAACGGACGACGGTCCGCCTTCTTCGCTATAGGAAAAGCATCACAAGGACCCGTGCAAGTCTGTCTGGTCTTTTGGCCGGAAAAAAAAAAAGAAAAAAAAACAAAGACGTGCTAGTGCGTGAGGCTCCAGAAACTATTGAGCGTAGTCCGATTATGTACATGTATACCGCTCCCTGCCCAGAGTCCGAGAGAACAGGGAGCAGTCTAGAATCGCCGTGGGCAGTGGCCATGGTACGATGGAGGTTGAAAAAGAAAGTTTTCACCGCGACAGAAGCAGCCCAACCAGCGAGGAAAGGAAAAGAAAAAAAAAAAGACCAAGAACCGCCTCAAGTTGGTGTCGTTCGCCTCGTGACATGACCATTCGCACGTCCTCCCAAGGCGGTGGCTTCACGACCCTCTGCGCTCGGCGCCTCGCCCTCAAAGCCACAACGGCCGCGTTTTTGCGATCCACCACGATTCACGACGATGACCCATGTCCACCACTCATGAGCAAGCATCATCTCAGGCAGCACCCTATTTTTGTCTCCTACTTTCGCCTTTCCACTTCAGGGGCCTTTTCAGCCCGTCGAAACAACGCGCCCGTCTTCATCTCTGCCCCGTATCCAATGTCCAGCTGTCTCGATCCTCCTCCCTGCCTTTCTATTTCGGTCACGTCCGGCCCAATCGAGCAATTTCAGGTCCGAATGTGGTTCTCCCACATGCGGAGAACGGGACCTCCCTCAGCCATCCATCCACCTCTCGTGCGGACAAGAGCCTGGGCGTCCGCCGCCACACAGAACTCGTTTCCAAAGTCATCCCAAATAGGCCTCTGCAGCCGTCAAGCTCGCAGACACGCACGGGCAGACTGAACATGTGAAAAATCGTTTGTTGTTTTCCTCTTCTTTTTCTCTCTTCTCTCCTTGTTGCCTCTCCCCCGGCCCATGCCGTTCCTGTCGCCCGCCAGTTCGTTCTTGGAGTCATCGTGGGACGACGCCTCCACCAAACTTCGGCATCGTCATCTCATGATACGCAAGAGCTTGCGGCTGTGAGCAACATGTCTACCTAATGATAATGGAGTAGTATACGGAGTACAGAATGAGCGTTTGTGTCTGCGTCAAGAACGGCTACAACTTGCCAGATTGGCTAAACCATTCCGCAAAGGGAAAGAAAAAGCAAGCCAAGACACCCATCACGAGCCAACGGCGTTGCCTCAATTTCTTTTCTTTTTTGCTCAACCTGCTCATGGCACCTTGGATGCCGATTGGACACCTTGTGCCGGTCACTTGCACCTGGCCCTTACGGACATCAGCCACGTCGACCGCTCCGTGTTGTGGTCGTACTTCATGTATAGTAGTTATGAATTTGGCCCCTTGTCAACTGTGTGACGTCTCGGTTAATGTCATTGACCTGCGAGTGATCGATTCCCACGTATTTGAGTTGCGACTGTGTCTCCAGCTTTGTTTTCCTTTCTACTATTTCGTACGAGCCAACCCGGGTACATTTCCTTGTTTTAACCTTGTGCCACCGTTTCGCTCGAGTATCACAACACCATCGCCAATCATATCCCACAACCAACCGCAGGCCAAAGATCATTAATACGCCGCCTTCCAAGACCCGGACGAGAGATCCATCGATCCTCACACCTGAGGCTGCATGTATGGCCAAACTACACCGTACTATAGTTGAGAAGAGTCGGGAAAGAAGGAAAGAAAAAAGGAAGCAGGCCAAACCCCAGCCAAGCATTCGGCGGACACAGTAACATCCCCTAGCCGGCTTGCCAGCATGAAGATCCTCTTCTTCTGCACGGCCCACAACTCCCTCTCACAGCGGCTCTTCCTCGTTCTGTCTCGGAACCATTCCATCTCCATTGAATATGCCTTGTGCGCGGAGAAAATGATTGAGGCCGCAGATTTGGCCAAGCCACATCTCATCATATGTCCCTTCCTGACGTCTGCGGTACCGCAGCAGGTCTACGAGACGTATCTGACCCTCATTGTCCACCCTGGGCCGCCAGGAGATGCCGGCCCCAGTGCCCTCGACTGGATGCTGATGGGTGACGACGGCACCGAGGCAGACAGTCAGCGACTACTGCGCGACAACCGCTTCAATCCGGTAGGAAGAAGCCACTGGGCCGTTACCGTTCTGCAGGCCATTGCCGAGTTTGATAAAGGCCCCGTGTGGGCTTTTGATCAGTTCCCCGTCAACATCAATGACACCAGAGTGAGCAAGTCGAGTCTGTATAGGGGTCCGGTGACACATGCCGCTGTTGCAGCAATCCTCGCTGCCATTCAAAGAATTGAAGCCGCTGCGTCTTTGGCATCTAAGCCTTGTGGGGCGCCCTTGTCACCTCCTCTAACCCCCAGGCTTGATAGCATCGGCTCGGCGGTGACGGCAAACATCTCGCCCGGTCTGTCTGCAGACAGGGCGTTTGCGGAACTGTCGGTCACCACATCGGAGCCGTTTCTTGGCGGCAACACACATTACAGGCCGCTCCTCAAGGCATCAGAGAGGCACTTCGACATCAGAAAGCACACTGCCTCGGCGATATCTCGAAGGATCCGCAGTGCCGACTCTCAACCCGGCTGTCTTAGTAACTTGTTTGGGCCCAAGCTATATCTGTACGGCGGCATCATTGAGAACCCAACACTGCTCTCCTCCAAGCAGGGCCATATTGTGCCGGGAAGTATCATCGCCGTCCGGAACGAAGCGGTCTGCGTGGCGACTTGTGACAACAAAGGCATCTGGATCACACACGTGAGACAAGTCAAGGCCAAGACCGACGTCACGTTGTGGCCAAAGGTCCCTGCCGCACCGGGTCTCGAGAAGCTTGGTATTTCTACCGGTAGCCCTTCTTCCTGGTTCCATCCTCTGCTTCTCCAGACACAGTCGGAAGAGTGGGCAAAGTCGTACCACGACACCTTCCGGGAGATTTGGGTAGATTTCGTAACCGATGGGCAGCAGAGATTCGCCTACTTATATTTTGACTTCTATAACGGCGCAATGAGCACAGAGCAGTGTAGACGCATGGTCCGGTGCCTCGAGTACATCTCATCCACGGCCAATGGCCGAGACAAGGGCCTGCCCCTGGCCGCCGTTGTGCTCATGGGTGGTGGCTCGTATTTCAGCAACGGTATCCATCTCAATGTTATCGATTCGGCTGCTGACCCTGCCCTGGAATCGTGGTACAACATCAACGCCATCGATGATGTTGTTGAGAAGCTCCTCTTGGATCTGCCAGCCTGCGGCATCACCACAATAGCGGCCATCAGGGGCAACTGCGCCGCTGGCGGTGTCGCGCTGGCGGCCGCGTGCGACGTAGTATTAGCAGGCCAGCATGTTGTGTTGAATCCAGCATACAGGTCTCTGGGACTGTCCGGGTCCGAGTTCCACAGCGTCAGTTATCGCGGACGCTGTGGCACCAAAGGGGCCGAGATGGCTCTGCGGACCATGACGCCACTAAGCGCAGATGACGCCCGAGGCATAGGCATCGTCGACTACGTACTAGACGTGGCCCCCGAGTCACTCAATGCCGCTGTGCAAGCTCATGTCGAGAACCTCTTTGCTCGCGGCGACAAACTTGGCCCGACACCATGGGCAAAGACCGGCGCATGGAAGCGCAACGTGGATACTTCTCCCGCGGGCTTGGCACTCGCTCGCACGGCGGAGCTTGGGCAGATGTCAATGGACTTTTGGAGTGCTCGCTCTGAGAGGTATCACTCTCGTCGAAGGAGCTTTGTGCGTAAAGTGAAGCCGTCGTCTACACCATTGAGGTTTGCGACGCACCGGCGGGAGGAGGGAATGATGGATGATGAGGAACAAGACACATTCGACTCGGTCGAGTGGTTTGCCGAGAAGTCGATGCAGAGTCTGAAAAGGAACCTTTCGGACAGGGCCGTCCGATCAATCAAGGACTTTTTCCGTGGTTGTGATAATTACGAGAGAAGGAATGTCGACAGTTCGATGGGTCGGGATGATGAGAAGTTTGGGGCAGGCGCGACCGTTTTTGGCTGCTATTATAACAATTAATAATCATTAGCGAGTTAGCGAGCGACTCGGGCCCTTCAGGCATCAGGCCTGATTATCTAGCTTTTTCCCTTAGCCTGCTGATACCTCGACTATTTTTCCTTGTCACTCAATGTCTTATCACGAATAGTGGATAAACGGATGGATACCTTTTGTATTTTCATTTTGCCTACGGAGTACCACTCTGCATGGAAGTTGAACAACCGGCATTAAACGGTGCTGTTTGCTGCTGTAGGGTAGGCAGAGAACCCCCACGCGTGACGAAGCCGCCTTGAGTTACGACACCAACCTTGGCTCGGACCCAATCTACGCTCCAACCTTTTACGATGAAATACATCACCAGCGCGACAAAAGAAGGAGAAAGCGATAATGGCACGCCCAAGCGCCGACCCTGTACAGGCAACGACAAACGGCGACTCTCATCCCGCGAGGATCGGTCCTCACCCCGGCTTCATCTCCAGCTCGAACCAATACAGCTCCGAAATCAAGATTCGCCGCATGCTTAAGGACAATGACTGCGATCCTGCACGAGAGGACAATTACCGCCTTCAGGGCGTCCAGCTGATTGAAAGCGTGAGGGAAAGTCTGCAGCTGTGCGTTCCGCCTCTTTTTGTCTGTTGATGTGCTTGAACTGACCGGTTGTGCCCCTTAGCCCTGTTCGAACCTTTGATACGGCATGCACCTACTACCACAAGTTTCGATTAAACTTTCGTGCTCTCGAGTACAGCTACTCAGACGCGGCCCTGGCTTCATTATTTGTTGCATGCAAAGTAGAGGATACCATAAAAAAATCCAAGGACATACTGGCTGCTTCGCATAATCTGAAGAACCCCGAAAAGACGCTCGCCCCCGACGACAAGGTATGCGTGTGCATGCCTGTGTTTCTACTCGCAGATTTCCCAGAAACGCCCAGGGGACAAAGGGAAACTAATAAAGGGACATAGATGTTCGATTCACCGGGGAAAACCATCATCGGGCTGGAGCGGCTCATCCTCGAGACGATAGGCTTCGACTTCCGCACACGATACCCCCAGAAGCTCCTCGTCAAGGTGGTTCGGCGAGTGCTGGGCAAGTCATCCGCCAACTCGCGCGACTTTTTCGCCACCGCATACGCCATGTGCATCGACATGTACAAGACCTTCGTGCCCATCAAGCGGACTACCTTCTCCATGGTCATGGCCGTCGTCGAGCTGACGGCGCGCATGCGCGACGAGCATCTTGACCGGGTTCAGGAGTTCGCGGCCAGCAGGCGGCAGTATCACCGAGATGCCGTCATGGAGACAATGCTCGACCTGCTCGATCTGTATGTGCAGCATCACAAGTCGACCAAGATTGGCGCCCAGGTCGACCTCAGCAAGTTCATCAATATCAAAATCCGTCTCAACACCGACTTGGACAGCACCGCCAAGCCGAGGCACTTGTACCATTGCCACAGATGCGAGGTTGAACAGGCGCACCCACTCTCGACCACGACGGCATCGGCTACAGACCCTGCGAATGCTTCAAACCACTGGCCCGTGGATGCATCTATCCGGCGGACGGCACGCGGTCAGGACGGCACCATGCGGTTCGTGTTTGACCCAGAGGCGGCGAAGAATGAGCAGGAGACGGTGAGCCACTTCTTCAAGGATGAGTACGAAGAGTATGAAGTTGAAGTCGAGGAACCTGTACCACCGCCGGACAGAGACGAGGGCTTGCGGGCAAGGGGAGGATACAGCGGCGGCTACAGAGATAGGGGCGATCATCGGCGCGGCGGACCGTATGGCGGCTATCGCGGAGACCGGTATCACAGGGGACGGGGGCGATATCACTAATGGATTATCACCAATGGACACAGTATTAATGTCTCGTGCAAATGCCGGATCCAACAAGACGGGTGGAAAACATTGCTGTCAAGGACACTGTTTCCCTGCGTGTATATATATTGGCCGACCGCGAGCCTGTATAACTACAAACCGCAACGCATCCTACCGCTTCGCCAGCAGCGACAAAAATAACATCACAGAACCGAAAAGCGTCTGATATGCCACCTTCTCCTACTTCTTCCCGGGTTCCTCGTCTGGCACCAAATCCTCACCCCCGGGCCCCGCAGATCTCAAGCCCTCCAAGTCGTCTGTATCACAGCTCCCGCTCCCGCCGCCGTCGCCGTCGCCGTCGCCGAGACCATGGCCATCATTCGACCGCTCCACGCTCCTCAGACTGCTCGCACAACTCACATCAGCGCTCGCCTGCGTCTGCACCCTCAGCCCCAAATCCCTCTCACTCTTACCGCCCTCCCCGCCCGGTGCTCCCCTCCAGTCCGCGGCCGCAACCTGCGGCACGGGCTCTCCCTCCCCTGGCTCGACAATCTCCTCGCCCCCCGCGCCGGCATCGCCAGCCACCCTCCACACGACGCTCATCTTATCCAGCGCCCTCCATCCCTTCCTCGATGAGCCCTTGAAGCCGTCCATTGCCTCCCACGCTATCGTGAACACGCCGCTGTCATCTGCCTGTCCCTGCTGCTCGGGGCCTCGGCCTTCAAAGAAGACGTTGAACCACACGTGCGCGACGGCCGATACCATAGTCCAATTCAACCTCTTGTGAGTGCGACTCCGCTGCTCCAGAGCGACATTCACGTCGCTATTCGGTACGCGAATCGGCTGCGCTGGCTTAAACACCACCTCCAAACCACCCGGCAGCTCGTCGTCGGAAGACGACGCGCCGGCTGCACCCTCCAACGCAAGGTTGCTGCTGCTGCTGCTGCTGCCGCTACCGGTCTTAGACTTGGCCTTTTCGATGCCGTCCCCAAGGTTCAACTGCACCTTTTGAATCAGCTGCGCCCCCTTGCGGCCCAGCTTGCCCTTCGTCTTGCCCCCCTTGGCCTCGTCGCCGCTTGTCTCGCCAGCAGTTTTCCTCTCGACACCCGCGGAATTCGCCTCGTCAGCCAGTTCCACCTGCTCGGGCACCTTGTCCGCGGCGCCGACCGAGTATCCTGCCAAATCCCGAACCACGTCGACGAAGCCGCTCCTCGGCGGCTCGCCCGGCTCCACAACCACCCTCTCCCTGGCGCTGAAGGCGTGAAACTCGCGGACCTCCTTGCCGTCCCTCACGAAGCCATTCACGCCAATCTTGACGCCGCTCCGCAGGCCCCATACGTGGATTTCCACAATCTCAACGGGCCGATCGACGTACCGCTTGCCGTGGCGCGTCCAGCGATCCACGTAGCTCACCCATCGCAGCTGCGAGGGGATCGACACGCCCGGCCCAAAGCCCGGCTTCATTCGCCGCTGGGTAAAGCGCGCCATGGCGTCCTTTGCCGTCCAGCCCTCCTCCGAGATGAGGTAGCTGCAGGATATGGTTCCCGAGCGGCCCTTGCCGGCCTTGCAGTGGACGACGACGACTCTTTTGCCGTGCCGCCCCCCGGACGGGGCAGGGGCAGCCTTGGCGGAGTCGTGCCCCGGCGACGGCGACGGCGACGGCGACGGCCCCGAAGACGAAGACGAAGACGGCTGCACGTCCAAGTCCCCGCCGTGCAGCCAGTTCCTCATGCTCGCCAAGATCATGGGCACCAGCCGAAACGGCGGGGGCTGGTGGTCCGGCCACGGGTAATGGCGCACTCTGCCGTAGACAGCGTCGTCGGGGTACCCCGTGCCCTCGGCGCGGAACTCCCATATCGCCCAGTCGTCGCCGTGCTCGTCCTCCAGGAAGGCCTTGAGCCTGTCGAGCGGGTTGCGGTACGCCACGCGCGGCCACGTCTGGGAGGGCCCAGATCTAGATGATTTCCATCGCGTTAGCGGAACAGGGCCCACGGGCACGTCGACGTCACGACGGCGTTGGCGAGGCGAGGCGAGACGTGCATGGCAGGGGAGGGGAGGGGAGACGACGCACGTGACTATTATAAACTCGGTGACATAGCACAGGTCCAGCTGTGCCTTGGGATGTCTCACCCTTGGCCCGGCCACAATCTGTCGCAGAATCGAGGCCATGGTGTTGTGAGTGATGCCGCCGACCACGAGGGACGGCCGCCAGTCATTTAAGGCCTGGAAGTTGTGGTGTCGTCTCGTCGGGCCGTGACGCCGAGGCTGAGGCCGGGTGGTGGGTTGGCAGCGCAGCGGCAGCGGGCTTGATGACGACGAATGGCGCCAGTGGCTGCTGTTGAGCGTAACGGCAAATCCTGGATCGGTCCCGGTCCCACAATACGTGCCAACAAGCAAGATCAGACAATCAGACAGGCAGACAACGGGCAGCTCAGGAGAGGGAAAAAAAAATAAAAATAAAAGAAAAATTCCCCAGGCAACTGCTTAAGTAGGTCTCCAAGTGAGCTTGCACGTGCCGTTTTGCGTAACCGATGGGCACATGCGCGTCTCTGCACTGTCGAGGCCAAATTTCGTACCGCAGCGTGCGCCAGCTCAAAGGAAACTGATTGAGCCAGACAGCCGGCCGATAAGTTTTGGTTACCCGCGCTAGTGTTTGCCGCAACAGGACAAAGATTGCTGGCCCAAGTGTGTCGCATCAACTGCATCGACGTCATCACTCCCTGCCATCAGTCCCACCGACAATGTCACGTTCTCCGTACTCTCACGCGAAAGGACCTCCGCCATCACATGGCTTCGAGCACAATCATTCAAACAAACGAGCTGTGTACACATAATAGACAAAAAGCAACCAAGACACAACAGCCTGGGAAACAAAGTCCTCCTACGCAGAACAATGACCCACCAGCCGCTTTGAACACCAGAGTCCATTTGAATATGAATACTCCAATCACCTTTCCTCCGCTGCTACACATTTGCCCATACTTCGTAACAATGATGCAAGCCGTTTGTATCGTGTCTTTTGCCATACCATTTTTCGACACGGGACGCGTCCCTCGTCGGCTCCTGATCTCCTCGTCTCCCGCATCCCAAATCACCGACACAGACAAGTCTGCACTCATCGATTACCTTTCAACCTCAGACCAGCTCGAGCGAGTCAAAAGCCATTCCTGGTCCCAATGCACCCAGGCTGCAGTCGAGTGACTAAGCCGTCACTTATTACAAAGAGAAGAATCCTGAGCTCCCTGAGTACTGTGACATGACAGCCTGGCGCAAACCCGTTTGTCATTTGCCACAGTCTTGCGTGTTGCTTACGAGGTCTTCTTGGCAGGGGCGGGACCGCCCACGAACCTGCTGACCTCAGTAGCATCGCGGAATTGTCGTCCAACACTCTTGACAGTGTCCCAAGCTTGGCGAGCGGCGGGGGGTGTACCCTGGGCACCGACAAGAGAGTCGATCCTGGCCTCGAGTTGCGACATGGAGTTTTGAACGTGGGTGCTCTGTGAGTAGCGGGCTCGGAGGAAAGCAGTGTACAGAGCAATCAAGATCCAAGAGCGGCGCTGGAAGAGAATGGCTGATAGCAAGATGCGGACCCAGAGCAGAATCTCAAGTCCAGAGACAACGGACATGGAGGCGTCGTAGTATTCCTTGACAAAGGCACCGATCCTATCAGCCAGGGGGTTGCTGACACGCTTGGGAGAGGCACCGTCGACTGCAGGGGGAGGCGGCTGGAGGACGGGAATCAAGTTGGCGCGAGTGTATGTTGCCACGTGAAAGATAGAATAGACGCAGTAAGGAAGGAGCGCGAGCGGATACTGAGGAGAGAAGAGCCAGACGAAGGCCATGACTGAATCATCGTCCATGTTAGCAAGCATTCTAGCTGCACCACAAACATGCCGGCCAGGGATTGTGTGTTGTGTGCATTGGGCAGTCAAAGTGACAATTTGGCTCCAGTGGGAAAACGTACGCAAGTATTGGATATTCTCATCGGACATGAAACCAACGATGCCACCCGGCATCTTGTTGCCAGTCTTGGCTCGAGCTCGCTGGGCCTTGTAAACGACGATGCCGTAAGTGACAGCGGCAGCAAGGAAAGAAGTACGGTAAGAAAACTTGGCCATGCCGCCATAGTAATTCATGCGCAGCCAGGAGAATCCATATCGAATGGTGGTCAGAATAAGAGTCATATGCCTGCACGAGGTGACGGGTCAGCCTCAAATCGCTTCCTAGTCTACTATTTCTGGAACCTAGCTGAAGTTGACAAAGTTGACCGAGCTTTCGTCGCACCGTCGAGGCGGCGGCTGGGCAGCTCGTGACACGACGGCCAAATAAGAAGCTGGCTGTAGCGTCGAGGTGGAGGGTCAAGAGAACGGATGCGGAGGCGCAGGCGAGGTGTTTACGTACCCAACGAACCAAGCGACTGTATCAAGCCAGATCAGTAACCTTTGAATCTTGGCAGCAGCCATCCATCATGACATGAATTGACAACAAGGCCGGCGGGGAACGGTCTGGACAGGTTTTGGAAACGTACATTGCAGTGTCTTGGCCAGCTGCAGCAGCCTCTCCTGCAGAGGTTGGCTGGAATTAGGTGGAGGAGGAGCCATGCTGGGTTTTCAGATCGTTGGAAGATACTATGGCTTGCAGAGAAGGTATGCAGCTGTGGTGGGTGAAGATGAGGTTGACGGGTTGACGACGGGACTGCAAAAAAAAAGCTGGCGTTGTGTGCGGCCGACGGCGAGGTGTGCAGTCTGAAGAGCCAAAGAAAGCCAAGTGAGCAGTGAGGTCAGGGTGGTCAAGGTGGTAAAGGTGGCCAAGGCTGAGTTCGCTGCGCTAGCGTCGAAGCCAGTTGGGCGGTGGGTCAATGGTCGGAGCTCGACGGTGTCGTAATGGTCCGACGTTGATGCAGCTAAAACACCCAAGGGGGAAACGGGGTACCAGCAGACACGGCGGCAAACGGGACGGCGGCCGACGAAAACTTGGAGAGAGGGGGGGAAAATAAACTCCAAAAAAAGGCGAGGGACGAGAGCTGCGAAACGTACTTCTATTCAACCTATGACAAGCTCGTTGTATGTTGGAGGAGCAGAATGACGGGCGGGAACATTTGAGCTGGGAGACGCGAGTGACGCAAGACCGACGGAAGATCTTGACCCAAGGAAGTCTGGCACGGTGCGTGCTGGGCCAAGCACACAACCGCCGGCATTCGGCTGCACCTGACTGGCCGACGTTGAGGCTAGGGAGGAGGCGGCGTGGCGAGGCTGTTCACTGAAAGGACCGGCTTGTTGCTCCAGAGACATGCTTGGGAGTACCTACGTACTTACTCTCCCTGCTTGAGTACCTATTGCTTACTGTAAGTAGGCACGGAGTACTACTAAGTACCCAGTAGGCAGCCGTTACCGCCCATCTTCGCGCCCTGTACTCCGATCCACGATCCACGATCCACCAGTGGCCACAAGTGCGCGCCGAGCTAACATGTGGAACCCGGAGCTGCTTGCAGTCAATCCTAATCTCAAGTGCCTGCCTCAGAGGCCGATGAGGAGAAAAAACAGGGCCTTAAACAGCTGCGTTGGGCTTCGAAACGTTCAACGGTGCTCGGTTCCGCCACCGACAAGTTACAACTACTGCTAGTACCACGTCGACGCCACTCAACACGCAGCACCACCAGCGACTTTTTGGCAGTGCTATCTTGCAATCCACCTCGAATAGTTACTAGTAGGGAAGTTGGGCTTTCTAGCTTATGCCGTGCCTTGCCAAATTTCGAACAGACCATCTCAACGCCCGACCGGCAAAGCCAACAGCAGCAACCAAAATCCGGCCGCCTACGACATTCTCACCGGTCGGCACCGTTCACTGGGCGTCCCGTCGGCATCCCAGGCGGTCGCTATGCCGCAGTACATGCGACAGCGCGTATTTTGTTTGCCCAGTGGGCGGGATACCATTTGGCATGGCACGAGTAGATTCCTCGCTTGAATTCTGTCATCATGCTGACGTGCTCTTGACCATCTAATTCGCCCATATCCTGAGCGTCATGTCGACACTCCCCGTTGCAATAACACATCGTATCTGCTCGTCCGAGGCCCCGGCCGGCCCTACACTCCTTTTCAAGCCCCCATCGTTTTCTGATCCTTGGCCTTGGTCTTGCGTACCGTTTCCATTTACCGACCCGCCGTCCTTTTGGATGCTCGGAGCCCATCGCAGGCACGTCACAAAATGCGTGTGAGCTTCATCCACCACCTTGACGCACTTGCCTTCTTGGCTCAAGTCCCAGCATCGTATTGTCTTGTCGTCCGCACACGAGAGCAGGTATTTGCCGCCAGGGTGGAAGACCAGCGATGACACCCAGTTGTCATGTCCCACCAGAATCTTGAAGCAGATGCCGCGTCCGTCCCATAGCCGGATACTTTTGTCGCGGGACCCAGTAGCCAGGAATTCGGCCGAGCTGCTGGCCGGCGGTGGCTTCTTAAGACCGGCCATCGATGCCAAGTGCACGTATGCTGATGGCGGCGCAAATGTGCAACAGCCAACCGCGTTTTCGTGTCCAATGAGCGTCAGTTTGTTTTCCGGGTTAGGAACAGAGATATCCCAGAGCCGTGCAGTGTGGTCACTGCCGGCCGATATGACAAACTGTCCGTCCCCTGACGGGCAGACGTCTCGTACCCAATCAACGTGACCTCGCAGGGCCTTCAAGCAGTAACCGGTTGCTGTGTCCCATATTCTCAACGTTTTGTCCGCGCTAGCACTGACGAGCAAGTTTGCAGATGACTGCGAGCCCCCTGACCCAGATGATATAAACCGTACCGCGCTGACGCTGTGGTCATGGCCCGACAATGTTCGAATATTTTTGTATTGATCTGACGGGTCCCACAGCTTAATGGTGAGATCTGAGCTGCATGACGCCAATAAAGTAGCGCCTCGAGGCCCGCCGTAATCGAGGCCCTTGACGGCACGCGTGTGGCCTTTGATTGTTTGCTCCAGTTCGCCCAGCTCCCAATCCCAGATCTTGATTGTGCAATCGTCGGATCCAGAGGCAATAGATGAAAATCGTGGGTGGAAAGCAACACAGTTGATCATCCCTCGGTGACTCTCTAGCGTATGTCTTGAAGGTTTTCTAGGTAGCCACGACGCGGGATCTTGGTTTCGTTTTGACAGAGAGCTCGGTGTGGCGTTGTCAAGCTCCGACTGAAGCGATGCGTTTCGCGACTCGAGGTCCATTATCTAGCGATGCGTTCGCCGAGGTCAGATGACTGCCGACGTGATTCGATCCAAGGCCAAACGATAGGATTGCGCGACCAATACACACCTTCTTTTGCAGTCGCACAATACTAGTCCACTTCTTCTCGAGGAGCGTTTCATACTTCTTTTCGGTGGCCACATCGTATACGTCTTCCCCGAGGCCGACCTCTTGTCGCAGCGCAGCAGCTGATTTCGGCAAGTTGTTCGCCGACAGGTAGGCTATGATGGATTTGTGCCTGCAAGTCTCCCGCATCAGTCTCGGGCCCAACAATCCCAGTGCCGCGTTGCCTGCATCGTCCATGTCGCTGGGCTCTCCGGTTGTACTCACAGCTCCTCGGCCTGCCGAGTCGGCAGCGTACGACTCATTGTGCCCGCGCTATCTTTACGGCTCCGAGGGGGTTGGCGTCGTGGCCAAACCCTCTACGGCACACGACTACCGTTGCAGAGAAGGATGTATGGTTCGTAGGATGGCAGAGGTCGATGTCGAGCAAGAGGCGGTCGGAGGCATGGGAGTGGCGTGAGCGTTGGTCTCTGCTGGTCGGGAGACGGCCCATCAGCCCAATTTGCGGATCGCGAGCCTCTCGACTAAGGTATATTTTGCGCAGCTGGCCTGCGTATGCGTAACGATAATCGCAGCCCCCGCAGCCCGGCTTTCAGCGACGAAACGGAGCTTGCTACGCTGTGTGAAGCTTCCACCTGGGCTCGCCTCATGCGGGCTGGAAGCGTGGCCCTCCACGACGGCGGGCCACCATCCCCTAAACATCACGTGGAAAGGGGTGGTGCTACCCTAACCCTAGATAGGCAACCAACCTCATCTATCAGGGCGGTCAACTGCTTCCTGTCCGCTACGACTCCTTTTCCAAACCGCTCAATATAGATGTTGCTGTTGATGAGCACGTGTTTGGAGGTGTAGCTATTGGTGCTATGAGAATGGAAGCTGCTGAGAGCACAGCAAACGCAATGCCAGCGCAGTTCACATATGATCCGCTTGGTGGCTGCTGCTATCCGATCCGGATTCATGGCTTGACCGAGACTCCATGCAGGAGTTCCAGTGGTCCCTTTGATTCTGGGATGCAGCAGTTCCTTCGAGCATGGAAGAGGTAGAAAATATGGTATTTTACGGAGGGAGGCATTGAATGGTCCGACCTTATCCGCCAGGATGCGAAAGTCGTGGAAGCAAGGCCGTTTGTGGTTCAATTTTGCAACGAGAATGCGTTCCGAGTCAGATGCCGTATTATAGTCGCAGTTGCACGAGGGTGCTGACTCTGCAGACATTTTTGAAGAAGGCTTGCGCGCAGAGATGCAACAATTCTCAAAGACGAAGATGGAACAAAGAAAGAGATAGAGATACCAAGAGGAGTGCGACGTTTGCTTCTCCCCGGTCCATTCCACGGCTGAATTTAAAAGCCTCCTGGTAAGCGTCGGCAATTTGACCCAGAGACGGCCGGCGGCAAGTCTTTGGGAATGAGCAGCTCATTCTGGTGTGTGTGATATAATCTGAGCCATACGCCGAGGCTGGATTTCTCCTACGAACAGCCCATCCGAGGCAAATTCATACGGCAACTCGAGCGGTGACAGGGCAAGATTACGACGGGGAAGTTGTCACTCTGAAGCAGACGATACCAGTTGACAGCATTATCACACCATTCCTCTGACACTTACAATATTTGTGGTCTACACCTATGAATAACCTAGCTTCCTGGAGCTCTATGGCAGGAAGTGCACTGGTCCGTGTCGGGAAGAGGGCGAAACCCAAGTTGATCCAATACTGGCATGGTTTCTGAGGAACGAGTCTTTTGCTCGGAGACAGGCACCTAGATGACACGAGTCGACAATGAGAGCTCGGTGATGTAATTGCAAAGTTGAGTTATTTGTCATTGATCTTTGCAGTTCACCATTTATTGTCCTTCTCTGGAAGATGCTATCAAAGCCGCCTTGCTACGGAATTAAAGATTCGTTGACAAGTTGACGTGGACAGCCTTTGTCTGCGTGTAAGCGTCGAGAGCATACTTTCCAAGCTCCCTTCCTATGCCTGAAGCCTTGTAGCCGCCAAAGGGGATGCCAAAATGCGAGTCTCCAGATGAGTTGACCCAAACCATTCCGGCCTGCAATTTTCTCGCAATGGTATGGCCTCTCGAGATGTTCTCTGTGAATACAGCTGCGGCCAGGCCATACGATGTGTCGTTCGCCTTCGCCACAGCTTCAGACTCGGTTGCGAATTTGCCAATCACGACCACAGGGCCAAATATCTCCTCTCGAACAACCGTCGCATTTTCGCTCGCCTGAAAGTGTTAGATGCTCATGTGTGTTGAAATGCCGCGTCGCCTCTACATACCTCAGCGAAGATGGTCGGCTCAATGTAATACCCTTCTCCCTCAGCTTTGCGACCACCACTCAGGATCCTCGCACCCTCTTTGCGACCGGCCTCGATGTAGGAGAGAATACGATCAAATTGGTTCTTCGAGACCTGCGGCCCGTGGTTGACATCTTCCTTAAAGGGGTTACCAATGACTGTACTCTTCTTGGTGAACTCGGTGAAAGCTTTGACAAAGTCGTCGTAAACCTTTTCGTGCACGTAGATTCGAGACGTAGAAGTACAGACCTGGCCGGAGTTGTCCATGATACCGACGTGGGCCCATTTTACAGCTTGATCCAAGTCAGCATCTTCAAAGACAATGAGAGGGCTCTTGCCACCGCATTCAAGGGTGATATTCTTGAGATTTGTTGCTGCATATCGCATAATCGCGCGACCTGTATTTGTGCTTCCAGTAAATGCAATCTTGTCGACATTGGTATGCTCAGCCAACGTCCTTCCAGCAACGGGTCCGACACCCGGAACAACGTTTATGACGCCAGGCGGCAGTCCAGCTTCCTGGATCAACTTGCCGAAATACATGGCAGATAGCGGAGTTTGCTCAGCCGGTTTCACAACCACCACGTTGCCGCACGCCAGAGCAGGCGCAACCTTCCAGGCCAGCATCATAAAAGGAAAATTCCAAGGGATGATTTGGCCGCAAACTCCCAGCGGCTCTTGGACAGTGTACGCAAATTTCGCGGGGGACGTGTCGATAGTATCGCCATATATCTTGTCTGCCCAGCCGGCATAGTATTTGAAGACATTGTACGACTCGTCCAGATCTGCTTCAAGCGCGACAGAGTATGGCTTGCCACAGTCGTAGGCGTCTATGGCAGCTATGAGTTTGCGGTCGCGGTCGATGAGGGAGGCCAGTTTCATGAGAAAATCGCCTCGCTCCACGGGGGGGAGCTTTGACCACGGCCCCTGGAATGCATTGCGAGCTGCTTCAACAGCCGCGTTGACATCGGCGGCAGACGCACCGGCCAGGCTGAGGACTTGTTGCCCGGTGGCGGGGTCGACAATATCAAACTTGTCGCCAGACGCATGCTCGAATGAATTGTTGACGAACAAGCCTACGGGCTGTTGGTACTTGACGCCGTTTGGAAGGGTGATGCTGATGGTCGACATGGTCGTGTTGATTGGGAGGCTGTAGTTTGAACGTGTTGAACATGGAAAGGAGTGTCACTAGGAAGGCCGAGGATGGTCTTCCAGGACATTGTCCGTTTTCACCAGTTTCAGCTGATGGTACAGCATACTCGAGCCACGCAACGCAATGCGGCACCAATTGTGGTTACGAAATGTGGAATTGCCAAGCGTGGATGAGTACGAGGAGTCGAAGTACGGCAGCGGAGTTTGTTGGAGGCCAACCAGATGATACCCTGGCAGGTGTCAACTGCGAGCAGGGCGCTAACCGTATCTGGCAAAAAGATAGGCACTGCTAAGCAAGGCGGGGTATCTACAATGTATAATGTAACGCGGGGCAGCCCCAGGGCCTGCCGGTCGCCCAACGTGTCAAAGATTCCAGTGGGTCTCAGACGGATACCCCACCCACGCCCTGTCGACCCCAGCATGTTACCGTTACGTATTTGCAGCGCGATGCATGTTCAAAACCTGGACAAGCTTGGCCGGGCCCTCGCACGTCGGTTTCTCCTCCTCAATGTACAAGCCTTGGACCAATTCATTACTTCTTTTGGCAACAGTATCGAAGCTGGCGACCGATGGACAGCTCCTGCAGCCCTTCAACACCAGCCAATCGGGACTTGCAGAGCCATGAACAGTCCATAGTCTTGATTCGGCGCCGCAGAGTTGTCGAGGGATCGTGCTGGACTTGTCGAAAACGCCGCGTCAAATGCGATGTTCGAAAACCATCATGTACGAGATGTCTCGATGCAAGGAAGAATTGCTCTTACGGCACTACCCCTCCTCTCAGATGGGTCGGGGACGTTTCGTCCCGCAGTTGTCTCGCCAGTCTCGCCAGTCTCAAGAATTCTTCTACATTGAGTGGACTGGGCGTGGCCCGCTGGTCGCCTCCCAGTTCCCAACCTCTGGAGCAAAGCGAATCGAAGCTATACTTTTCTAATGTCGTGCTACCTCGCTTTGTTTTGAACGAGTCGATCGAGCGGGACTTGGACGACGTCTTGCAAAACGAGACACTGATTGGAGCCATCACTGCCGTTTCTCAAGCGCACTACGCTCGGTGTTCCAAGGTAGATGTGTATGATGTCTCAACCGTCCGAAAACTTGCCAGGCTTTCCGCGATTGAGGCCTTTCGCCGGTGTTTGCAGCAAGGCCTGCAGTCCGACAGCTCGGCCCAGAGGCTCTTTGCCACCAACATCCTGTTCTGTATACTTGATGGCATGATCGAGCCATCCGACGAGTACAACTCTTCGACATGCCATCTACGCGGCGGATGGGCCATACTTCACAAGTGGCCGAACACTCCGACAAGAATGCTTCTACAAGACGGTCTGCAAGCACACCTGCTGTCGATTTATGCCACCATGGATCTTGTGCATGCCTTGCTCGGTGGCCACAAGCCCTTCTTCCAGTCTGCCATCTGGAATATGTTTGCTCGTCTTCAGACTTGGTTCGGCAGACTGCCAGCTGGTGACAAGTTTCTGGGGATTCTCGCCGCCTTCTCAGACATGGCATCACTGGGCAACGTAGTCCACCTTGATCAGTCCCTCGATAGTGTAAGCCTGGTGTCGAAATGTCTGCCTGGAATCGAGGCTGCCTTGTCCCTCGAAGGCATGCAAGATGCCCAGGGGAGTTTGGGCCGAACAAATACGCCCTCGCCTTCTCCATGGGCAATTTTCTGCTCCATCTACATTATGTGCGGGGTCATTTACTTGCAAAGGGCTGTGCGGTCGCGACCTGCGGACGACGCAAGAGTCCAGATAGCAGCTCGACACGGGGTCGCAAAAGTGATTGATCAAAATCTTCCGGCGGTCATGCGTCACTGCATCGTCTTCCCAGTGTTGATCATTGGTAGTCACTGCACCTTAGCCCAGGATCGTGAGGCCATTCTCCAGGTACTCTCTCCTACTAGCTCCTATCTCAGCTTTGGAAACATGCAATTGATGGCTGATTTCCTGAGAGAAACCTGGGCACGAGAACAGACCAACCAGACTTGGTGGGAACTTTTTGCTCCGTTATCCGAAAAGGCTTTCCTCTTCTGACCGCTATTGTGGACGCTGCCGATAACAGCAAAACTCTTCATTAAAGACGATGCTGGGCTTTTGGAAAGCCTGCGAATGAATACGGGGCCTCAAAATTCCAACGAATCAAAGCAGTAGGGATCACGGGTCCGACGCTACGCGCACAACCTGTACCGATTTCGGACTTATCCTGTCGTCCCAAGACCTGGCTTGCCGTCAGGGGCCGTTATCCGGGCCACCCGTGGTTCCATCGAGCCCTCATTTCTCCGACTGAAACTCACCTTTCCGGATTAGGGATACATTTGGGCATTGCATGGTGGCGTCTCACATCCTTCGACGATGGCGTTTTCGTTGCTACACCAGAGTCCAGAGTACCTCCCTTGTGTTATTTGGAGGTAAGTACCTGCTTAGAGGTAGACAGGAAAATACCTTGATTAGTAAGAGTGTACCTGCTCACAAGTTACAACCGTCTAGGTACTTAACCCGAGAGTCTTGACTAGCACCTTGCCGGGGAAAAGGGGTAGACGGCGTGAACGGCTCAGATGTCTCACATATCCCGTGCGATAGTTGCGATAGTGCCGTTATCAGATCATGGAATGACGTGGTAAGAAACCCATCGTCCGCACAGGTTGAGTTTTTGCTCTACAACCTGCTTTCTCCAACTGGCCGCAATGGCAACAGCAGACGCACCAGACGAGATGAAGGCCTCTCTTTCTGATGCGGAACGAGCCCTCGCTTCCAGCACACAGCAGCATGGAGAAGAAAGCGAGCTAGTTGCTCTTGGATATACACCTGCTCTTCGCCGCAATCGCTCTCTCTACACCATTTTGTTTCAGGCGCTTGCTATAACTGCTGTACCTTTCGGCGAAGGTGCCGCATTGACTAGCGCAATATACGGCGGGGGCCAGCTTGCATACTTTGTGGGATGGATTGTTGTTGCTCTGCTCGATCAGTGTGTCGCAGTGTCTCTGAGTGAGCTTGCCTCAAAGTTCCCGACATCATCTGGGCCGTCTTAGTAGGAGCCTCTCAACCCAGGCACACGCGCAGTACCAAAGTTGCTAACGGCTCACCAAGTTGGTCATTTCAGCTGCTTCCTGCCGGCCGGGCTCGGACTATATTCTCTTTCATCACAGGATGGGTTTGGCTCATTGGGAATATTACCATTTGCCTCAGCGTAAACTTTGGTACGGCGTCACTCATTGCTGGGACGGCCACCATCTACCATCCGGACTGGGTAGCATCCGACTGGCAACTCTTGCTCATCTTCTATGCCGTCTGCCTTGGTACTTTTCTTATATGTGCGTTTGGAAATCGTCTCCTCCCTTACGTGGATACCGTGGCATCAGTATGGAACGGCCTCACTATTCTGATTGTCTGTGTCGCCTTGTCAGCGACTGCCAATGCTGGACGCCACAGCGTGGCAGATGCCCTCGCCAACTATGATCAGAGTTTCTCCGGATGGCACAATTTCACCTTTTTTATCGGCCTGCTTCCGACAGCCTACACTTTCGCAGCCATAGGTATGATCACATCGATGGCGGAAGAAGTAGCGGACCCAGCCCGAGACGTTCCTACGGCGCTGAGTCTCGTGGTGCCTATCTCTGGGGTCGCAGGTCTCTTCTATATTCTTCCGATATGTTTCACGGTGAGCCTTGTCTTCTGTCAGGACCCCTCGGGCGAGATCCTCTTCCTTGCTCAGGACCATACTTGCTCAATATCGCCAAGCTAAAAGCAAGTGACGATCGGCGCTACTATCAATCTGTATTCCTTACGCCTATTTGAACCAAAAAGTCTGGTTTCAAGTCCACTGTGCTGACAGGTTCATAGCTGCCACCCCTTCAGGACATTCTGAATGTCCCTCAAGCACAGGCAATGCCATACGTCTTCCACACTGTAATGGGCACTCCAGGCGGCGGCCTAGCTCTGATGTTTCTCTTACTAGGTGTTGCAGTATTCTGCTCGATCAGTATTTCTACGGCTGCCTCTAGAACACTTTGGGCTTTTGCACGCGATCAAGCAATTCCATTCTCAAGCATATGGTCGAAGCTGATTGGCGACCAAGTACCCCTTTCAGCCTTGGCTCTGCTGACTGTGATCCAAATGTTACTTGGTCTGGTCAATCTAGGAAGCACGAGCGCCTTTACAGCCTTTGCTTCATGCGGGGTCATTGGGCTTGCCGCAGCATACGCCATCGTCATCGCAATCTCTCTGGTCACACGTCGAAAGGCCGTGTCAACGGCTCGATGGAGATGCCCAGTCCTGGTTGGGTACTTTGTCAACGTAATGTCTATTGCCTGGGTTGCTTTTCAACTGGTGCTTTTCAGCATGCCTGCCGCCTTGCCAGTAGCCGTGGCATCGATGAACTATGCCTCTGTTGTCCTTGTCGGGTTCATGCTTATATCTCTTATCTACTATGTCACCTACGGCCGAAAAGGTATGTACACCAAGAGCCATTTTCGGATGCCAGTGCTGATATGATTAGTCTATAATGGCACCCCTGCAAGTGATGGTGTATGATATATGGTGCCCATTGCAAACGTCCGCATACCACGGCTCGGCATATCACACAGATATATATTGAAACCACTGAGAGCCAGGGGCTTCACCGGGTGGGTAAATGGTTCAGTTTGAAAAGAAGCCTTGTATCAACTATATCCATTTGTTCAAGATTCATACATGACTAGATGCGCCACTGTCCACCGATTTCGACGGCATCATGGTCCAATCTTTGTCGACTTTTCCAGAAGTGCTCGAAAACACCCATCTGGCGAAGAGAGGTCAACCCATGATCCGCCTGAAACCATGCGGATGTGAGCTCTGAAACCTCGCTGAGTCAGGCAGAGGACGACAAAGCGTATCTGTAGGGTCATGGACGCCAGCTAACGTTTCCGACATGCTTGGGAAAATGTATCTTTGCCCGCCTTATTCTGGAGCAACAAGCGGAGCATGTGAAGCAATACGTCACAGTCCTCTTCTTCTAGACATGGTGGACATGACGGTTGATACAAAACTGAGTCACATCTTGTTAGGTTTTGGTGCATCCAGTGCAGTCAGATACCATGTCAAATATTTGGGAAGTTCTGAAGTTGCAGACAAGATATGCTAGAACAAAAAAGAAGTCATTGACGGACACTTCCTCCCTTTTTTTTTTTTCCGGCCTTGAAAGTACCGACCACCTCTCCGCCGTCAAATGCTCAAAGTTCCCATCAAGCATCGCCAACCACCGTCACTGTGCCCAGCTTGGCCCGAAGCGCAAGGTTCTTCTTGGCCGTCTCGGGATCAGCCCCCGCAACAAAGTCAACATTGATGCCCTTGCGGAACAAGACGCAGTGAGTCGAGCCTCCGTGGTGGAACATGCCAATCTCCTCGCCCTTCTCGACGCGCGTAGGCTTACCCGTCTTGAACTTCTTCAAGATCTCGCACGACGACACGTCTGCCATGCCGACAAAGATGAGGCACAGCCTGCCAACGGGGGGCTCCGCCTCGATGAAGAAGATTGCCCGGGCGGCGACGTGGGTGATGTACCCCTGAGCCTGGTCCGGCGCGGCAGGGTCGGGCGTGTTGCCGTCGTAGAAGCCCGTGATTGTCGGCTCCGAGAAGTACGTCCCCCTGAGGACTGCTGTCCGGATGACGTTTCCTGCGACGGGCGAGTGCCAGCGGTGGTACGAGGTCGCGCTCAGGAAGGCCTGGTAGACGGTGCCGCCGACAAAGGTATCGGTCCAGGCGTGGCCGTCGAGCATCTCGGACAGCGAGTACGGCTGCCCCTTGAGCCAGAAGCTGTCGCGCCTGTTGACTTTTGTCTGTCTCGCGTACGGCTTGGACTCGCACGCGTTGGCCACGATCTCGGGCGACCCGGGCGACGCGACGGGGCGGAGCGTGTCGATGTTTCTGAACTGCCTGACGAAGAACGAGTCCCAGCTGGTGAAGCCCCAGTGGACCGGGTCGGCGACGGGATCGCAGACGAAGAGGTCCTGGAACTTGCGCTCCTTGCCGTCGACGTTTGTGTCGTCCTCGATGGCCTTGAGCGCCGGCGGGCTCAGCCACTTGTTCTCCTCGGTGGTGATGACGTACTGCGAGTCAGAGGTCTTGAGGAGCTCGTCTCGCCACGCGTTGAGGATCGCCTGCATCTTCTCGTTGACCTCGGGCTTGAGGAAGAAGGCGTAGCCGCTGGGCGTGGCCATGGGCCAGTCGAGGACCGTGTTGAACGGGAACCCGATGAGGCCTACGTCGTAGCCTTTCTGGCTCCATTCGGGGGCCTTCTCGGTCATGACCACCCCGAAGAGCTGGAGGAGGTGGTCGATGTCCCGGATTTGCCTGTTCCCGACGGGGTCATTGATGTAGGGCTCCTTGTTCGGGACCTCGGAGAGCATGGCCGACGCCAGCATGCGCAGGTCGGGACGGCTTTCAATCAGCTTTCGAAGATCGTCGACCTCGTTGGGGAGAAGGGGTGCTTCGTCCCGCCTGTCAATCTCCCGGACCAGGTTCTTGAGCCAGTCGATCATGACGGCGCGGTTCTTGGGCAGCCACCCGCCGTGGCGGTGCGGCACAGAAGTCACGGGCGTCATGACGGCGGCTGTGGGCGGCGGCATATCTCGTGGTTGTCAAGGTGTTTTGGAACCCGGGCCAGCAGAGACCTTTCCCGCCAGATGCGTGTGGGAGAAGAGCTATCTGGACTATCGGACCACGGCACGTAGGCGCACGAGGTTTTTATACACGGGCATCCCTGCCTCGGCCGTCGGATCAGTTGCGCCTCTCCTCCCGGACATGGAGCCGCTTCTTCCGCAACCACGGCATCGTGTCGGAGAGTTGTCTGCACGTTGGAGGAAGCATCCCTCTCAGCCAGCCACACAACTTGGCACTGACTCACATGCCGTATCGCGGAGCCAAGTCTTGTTCGTCTCGGTTCGCCCGTTCCGGACAGATACATACTGCGGGGTTGCGTCTGCATAGAACGGTGTGCAAAGAGGAATGTAAAACATCGATCACGTTCGGATACAAGCTGATGAGAGCCAAAAGTGCCAGCACACGCCTGCCTGCCGACTTTGCGCGTACGTCATGATCCATGGGCTGTGGATGGTCGTCCATGCGTGTTTTGCCGTATCGGGACGATTTATCGATGCCCTCGAGAACTTTATCTCGTCATGCTCGAGAAACACAACTGGATACGCCGAGTATCCGGAGTATACACACGGAGCGGTCTAACGAGTAATTCGAAACTGGCCGGATGCCAGGTGTGCCCGTACAGACAGCTTGTGCATCACATCTCACTCGTGGGTTGATGTGGACGGGACGGCGTATTGCATGCGTGGTGGCTACGTTTTACGTGACTAACAATATCGCCTGATCATTCGATGGACCGGTTTCCGCATGGACGCCAGATGGATGGTGGGTGGGTGTCTTGGGCGCTCACGAGCAGCTTCCCCATCTCTACAATCCCACAGCCTTCGTGTCATAGAGTCCCGCCGTCTGCGGCCGGGGGTCCAGGCCGCAGATTCGACGATAAGCTTTTCCGGGAGGGGCTACCCTGGGCGAGGTGGGCATGCCTACTTTTATATACCGTGGCCGAGAGGCCGTGGTTCAAGCATGGTGGTTCGACGTTCATGGCGGTGTGGCATCACGTCCCGGCAGTCGCTTATGCGGTGTGTTGTACGTGACGTTGTGGTTGGAGAGCGAGGCGTCGGAGCCTGTATTGGAGCTGTCCACGGTGTACTTTGCCATGTGATGCTGGTCTTTGTCATGTTCTGTAGGTCCAAGGCGAGATGAACAGTGTTGGGTTGACCGGAATTGTTTTCCTCAAGTCGAAAGGGGGTTGGGTAGCGTAGAGTCACAAGGCTGGTGAGAGGCATTGTTTATAATTTCGACATCAACCACGCCTAGTTGTATTTGGCCATCGCTCGGAGGCACAAGAAGTATATGTATATTAGCAACGCTGATGGCCACTCGATGCTTCAAAAACCATGGCTGCAGTCCTGGCTGGGAATATAAGAAGACAATTAATACCTCGAGGGCGAAGGATAAGGATTTCTCACCCCAATCTCACTGTCACAAGTAAAGAAGACTGTCTGAGGCGCCCACGCCAACCTATGCCTGGTACCAAGGAGAATGCCATCCGCCTTTATGCCGGAGTGACCTTGGGGTGAGACATCAAACTCTCCCCCCCTACATCGTCTACCTTGTCGAACCAGATATAATCGTCCAGGTCCTCATCGAAAGCGATGCCCAGTCGGGTGGCAACGTCATTCTCCAACGTGAATTCTGCCCTCAGCGGCACGCTAGGACCCTGTGTAACTTCCCTGTAAAGAACAATATACTTGTCCTGCCCCGACACGTGCTGAAAGTTGAGGGTGAAGACATAAGACCGATCCGTGCAGTCAATGAACAAGGCGTCGCGCTTGACCTGGACCGCGAGGCGACCCCAGCCCGGATTGCGGTACTCGCCCGTATATGCGTCCAGGGGCATAGTTTGAGGCTCTGGCACTTTGATGCCGGGGCACAGCCTCTGCCGCTCTTCCTCGATTTGCTCCTCTTCGTCGTGAACCTTTTTCTCCGGCGACATCTCGTACAGCACCTCGTCCCAGTCGACTCTTTGGTCTTGGGGCACGCTGAGAAGCTCGTCGAGGAACGTCTGCACCAAGATGTCGGCAACGAGGCTCCCGCTGTCGGAATTGCACATGATGACGGCTCCGAACTTGAAGTCGGGTACAAAGAAGTGGCTGCTCGAGGAGCCGGATATGCATCCGTCGTGGATGATGAACATGTGGCCTCGGTAGTGGTGGACTTCCCACCCGGTTGCGTACAAGGGGGGCGATGAAAAGGGCCTGGGAGCCTCGTCGGGGCTGATGATTATTCGTGGCCTGATGAGCCCCTCGTACACGTCTTCCGTAAACGGCTCCTCCTGGTTCATCAAGGCCTTGACGTACTTGATGTAGTCGTTGACGCTGGTTACGATTGAGCCTGCGCCTTGCGCCTCGGGGAAATCCGGAGTCATGAATGTTGAGTACTTGTTGGTCTTGTGATCCCACCAGTGTCCGGGGGAAATGCGATACCCGAGGCCTCTGTTCCTGGCGCCTCCTGGCTGAAGGGTGCTCGAGATCATGCGGAGAGGCCGGAAGAAGTGCTTCTGGAGAAAGTTGGCGAAGGTGAGGCCTGTTTTCTTCTCGACGAGATATGAGGCGACGGCGAACATGATGTTGGAGTAGATGAACTTGGAGCGGATTGGAGCTGCAGGGGCCAGATTCCTGAGATTTCGCGTCACGGATTGGGCGGTGTCGGGGTTGTTGGACCTGACTCCCAAGTATGAATTGTCATGGCTGATTCAAAGAATTAGCCGCAGAATGGATGTAGGTGATTTGGAGGGGTTGAAACTCTTCTCACGAGGCCATTCCGCTCCGGTGACTGAGGATGTCTTCGACGGTCACGCCTTGATAACAGCCTTGGCCGGGCATGACAAAGTCGTCAGGCAATAATGTGGCCATCTCGGCTTCATATGTGACGTCGGGGTAATTTTCGTCATTCACCAGCAGCGCAACGGAGGCAGCGGTAAGAGACTTGGAAGCAGAGGCGATGTCAAGAAGAGTATCGGCGGTCATTGGCTTCGGGGGGTCGAAGGAGGCCATCCCGAAGGCCTTGGAGGCCGTGGTGTCATTGTGAACAATGGCGATGGCCAGACCAGGGACATGATATTTCCTGATGAGGATCCTTGTTTTTAAGGAGAATTCTCTAGAGTTGAAGAAATCCATGACGGGCTTGACCGCTTGCGCTTTTCGGTTCTATTGAAGCGAGACAGCTGTCGAGGACAGGAGTTTAAGTAAAAGGCGGATCGTCAAGCGCATTGGAGTTTGGAACATTGGAAAGTCTGCCCGAGTTTACATAATCGGGTCTCGGTGCTCACCGTTGAGTCACCGAGGTGAGCAGGCCCCGAATCGGGCGGCTTATTTATCCAATAACGACTCGACCGGGGTGATGCAGCTCGGACTGACTCACACCTTCCAAGTCATGAGCTGTAACTTTTCCGGTTTCTTTGGACGGGCCAAGCCACATCGGCCGAGGACTGTGACAGTTGAGTCGGTTGATTGCTGCCGGGCAAGACGTCCGTCCCTTGGATCTGGTTGCAACTTCGTCCCCGGCAATATGTACAGCTTCGACGCAGCCGATTCATAGACCAAACAAACGCGTATATGTGAAAGGCCGTGGTGCCTCCATGAGACTCGTTGCATGTAATGATGTCACGTTCCCAGTTGCCAGCAAATGTCGCGCGACTTGGTGAATCAAAACGGCCAGCAAGAAGCAGTTTCATCCCCTCAGTGGTATCAATCGAGCCGTGTTAATCGAATTACATCTTATATCACTGTCAGAGTGGTTATTGTCACGCCAAAAAAACGGGCATGGCCATGCAACACTGTTTTGTGTGTCGCCGTGCACACCTCACCTCCTCTGGAAGTACGCCATGTTCAACCGATCGTTTTCTCGTGGCCTGTACAACAAGCGTCTTTACAAGCTTCAAGTCTTGCTCCGATATATCCTCACCCTGTAATGAAGAGTGGTAACGCCAGTTCTCGAATGAATACTCTAGATACCCGCTCGTGGGAAACAAGACAAACGTGCGGGTCGAAAACTGGCACTTCTCGCGATGGGGCGTACGGCAGGCAGCAACTACTGCAAAGTTTGTGAGCTATTTTCATTTTGAAGTGTCCCATCCACCCTTTGCTCGACCCTGGAGGACCCGTCAGGAATTCCTTAGTAGTCTGGTGAGTCAAGTATAGCTTAGAGTCGTAGACGTCGATAAAGAGACCACAGAGGTTTTTCACCACCGACTTGAAATCGCCACCCCATATATTTGCACTCAGGTCCTTGTGCGTTCGAGGACTGTCCTTGGTTGTAGCCAAGGTGAGGGCGTAATTGGCTTCCTGGACAGTCAGTGGCCGTGATGCAGCAAGGAGGAGTTGAAGAAGCGCTTCAGTCAAGGCTCGATCCGAACTCCTGCTCAGGATCGTCTCATAGGCCCCTTGACTGCCGGTGGTATCTCAGACAACAATCTTTCGATATCCGACAGCCTACCATAGGCGCTCGGGTGTTTGATGATTATGTCCCATGTTAGGTGTAGCCATAGTTAAGTACAATTATCCATGCCCTTCAGTCGTTGGCGAATCCGGCTGCGGTCGTCTTCGTTTGTGATGTGGCGGCCAAGATTTTCCATCTTTGCGTCAACGACGAGATCGATGTCCTGCCCGATTTCCTCAAATTTATCGTCTCCATCATATCGAATGTATGCTGCATGACTTTGCGTCTCTAGTGGTCGAAGCTCGTTTTCCAAGTCATCGTACGGTCTGCCGGTAAGCAGAAACTTGATCTTGGAGGACTTCAGCTCGTCTTCATTGTTGCAAAATCGACGTAGGTGTTGAAAAAGTTCGTTTCGGCTTTCCATTCCGCCTTCATGCATGGCATCTAGCACACAGACAATGCCATGAACACATGGAGACTCCGCACAGGCTTTAAATATGCGCCATAGTTCCGAAAAATTGGTCTTCAAGCTTTTACCATACTTTCTGTGACTTGATTCTGCGTGGCCTATCAAAAGCTTGCCGGACGCGCTGCAGAACAGCTGATGCAAGATCGCACATAGAGCGTTTGTGGCCTTTATGCGAAGCGCATCAGCGTCCTTAAAGAAGAAGTAGCAGACATATGAAGATACAGTTCGGGAGATGACATTTGAACTTGTGACTTCCACTACATTGCTGTTAGCCAAGTGCCGTTCGTCGAGTAGAGCTCGCGATAGAACCGACTCGCCGCAGCCGGGGCCTGCGGATGTCCAGATGAGACTCGATGAGGTATTGTCGCGCCATTTACAGAACGTCAAGTCCTTGAAAACCCACTCACATGCTCCTTTTACTCTATCCTTGTTGAAGTTCTTGTCGCGTTCGTACGTGGGAGCCTCAGACACCAAGTTATGGAGCAAATCGCTTTGCCATTTTTCCTGCTCGGCCTCTCGCAGCGTGTTAAGGATCTTTTCCTCGATCTGGCATGACCGCTCCATATGATCCAACTGAAGCGCCATGTTAGCTTGCACTGCTTCATCTTGACCGCGAATAACACAGCCCTTACAGGCTTCGTGACTTGTCATGGCGAGGCTCTGTAGACTGGCCCAGTTGTTGGAACCCACGGCCTTCTCCCAAGCGCGGCTAAGCTGACTTTTTGACAAGTGGCATATGAACCGGGCCTGATACTCGAACACTTGGGAGAGCAGCTTAGACAAAGCTCCGGGAAGACCTGCTCCGCGGCCTCCAGATGAAGACTTTGCAATTTTCTCCTTGTCACTCCGCCAGTACATCTGGATGTCACAAACAGAGCCAAAGCCCTTGAGCATGGCTTCCTGCTGCACCGAACCAGCGGAAAGCAGCTAGATATGTTGTTAGCAAAGGTTTCCGGGAGAGGACTTTGAGTCAAACATACCGGAGCCATCATTTTACACCAGACCATGCGAGCGACGCACAAGGTTGAGAACTGAGAGCCGGCTTGACAATATCGTCGGACCACAGTAGAAACTTCCCTAGTCTTTCGACCTCTTATCGTACAGAAACGTTCTTGCCCATGATCTCAACCCGCCACTGCTTCTCGCTCCGGCCGGCTTGTAGTCTGTTTACAATCTTTTGGGCAGACTCGGGGTTCGACAACACATCCTTTTCCACACACAATGCTTCTATATTTGTTGTCTTTGCCAGGTGTTCTTCGAAGTCGACAATCAAATCGGGCTGTCGCTTTTTGACCACTTCATTTGCTCTTTGCGAGAGCATTTCCCACTCAGAGTCCTTGTTGTCAGAAGCCTCTATTTTTATGGAGCTCGGCGTGGAGGGTCCAGGGGTTCGCAAAATGGAGGCTGTCCAAGTATTCTCGATACACATTGCCTTCTATTCCAAGCTCGGTGGTTTCTGTGCAGGCTGGACATGGCCGGCCTCAAAGCTCTTGTGCAACGTGAGCATGGGCTGCACCACGGACTGTCTGAGCCTTGAGGAACAGTCGCTTGGATGAAGTGCAAGGGTTCTTCATTATTGTAGGAACTGTCTTGACTTCTGTGGCCAGCTCATACACGGACATGTTCTGGCAGCTCTTAGCGAGAAACCGACTTCCCTCGATCGTTACAGTCAACAAGGTGGATTGTTGCAGCTTGCGGACCGAGCCGTATCCCGCACATTGTTCAATTTTAAAGCCAGCACTTTGTGCCACCTTCTGGAAGTTGGGCTTGAGAATGGGAGGAACTCCATCAATTCTCCCCATGGAGTGAGTCCCTTCATCTGTTTTCCGCGTGCAAGGAGCGAGAACGGGCTGGGAACGTAAGCCCACCGTGGCACAACTTGTTCAACTAGGATTCGCCCAGACCTTTTGCCTGAGATATGCATTACTCCGTATCGGTCGCAAGTTAGGCGCAGGCGCATCTTCACACTGCTTTGCATCCTGGCTGCACGGTTCGTGGTGGTCTCCGGTAACCCAGGCATCTGTTCCACGGCATCGTGTGCCAAGTTCTCTGATCATTTGCAGTTTTGTCGTTTCATGCCCACTCCTCTTGCAAAAAAATTGCGAGTGGCATGGTAGGGACAAGGCAACAGAAAATCAACCAATGATGATAAGAAACATTCGCCTATAACGGTTTCACAAAGTCCACTTGGACGGGGAACGGCGTCGACGTTGCAGAAGTCGACTGGTCATACGGCTTGTCTCACACAATGGATACAAGCAGGCTAGAACCAATATGAGAGTGTAAAGCAGTTGGTGAGCCTCTCGTTGGCTGAATTGCATGTAAGCCGTCATGTCGAGCAGCATCGGCGCCTGAACCAATGCGGACCGCCCGGCCACCAAAGCCCTTGGGTGCGGAGTAGAACTATTCCTCAATAAACACCTACGAGCCCGTGGTTCACCGACGGTTGGCGTCTCGTCCTGCCATGGTGCTGGAGTTTGTACTAGTAAGTAGTATGCATTTTTGGCCCCTCTAGATTGGCAATATGCCCTGTTATGGTTGAATAGTTGAGCAAGAGAGATAATTATTGACACTGACCGACCCTTTCGTCTGATTCCTTCGTACGTTTTGATGAAACGCAGCTTTTTGTCGGCCAAAAAGTATGACGTATGCAACTCCTAATGCTAGATTGTTAGATCAGTCAAAGATGAGCTGGTGTGAGCACATAAGGCCATTGTACCTATTACTATGCACATTTCGGTCACCTAAAACGGTTAGATCGACCATGGAGGCACTACTAAGGAATTGGTGTGGTATTGTCGCCGATGGCAGGACGCAGGATGGCACAATGAGGACGATATACCGCAAAAGTTTCCCGGATAAAAGTGGGGCTCGGCACGGGCCGCCCTAGCCGTGATAAAAGCCGTAGTGGGGCCGGGCCCAGCGTCGGAGCCCCTGGTGCCGAACCGGATCGGGCCTCGGCTCGAAGAGCTGCTTTCGGGGTCGTTGTCGCCCTGCATTTCTGATCGGTGGACAAAGTGTAGAATGAGAGTTCCGATAGTTCCGAAACGTGCTATGTTCCTCACATTACCTTATGGGCAATCATCCTCCCATGAGTCCGAGTAAGACAGCGACGACTACTGCAGGCACAATGTAGCCCAAGGCGACCAAGGCCAACATCATGGCCGAGACGGTGTCTAAGAGGCGATTATATTCGGCGACACTTGGCGAACAAAATAGTTAAGAACCTATTGTCTAGAACTAAAGCTCAAGTATCACGATACGCGACTCCCTAACCCATGTCCTGATATCTCCTTATAATGCATCTGAGGATTATTTCACATCGTCTTGCAGCGACGAACCTAGTTGACAAACTATCAAGCAATTGAGTAGCGAGCTGATTATCAGCAGCAGCTTTTGCCCCAGCTAGCGCTTTTGTAGCCTTACCTAACAGAATAGCAATGAAGAACACCAGTGAGACGGCAGACGTAAATAACGCATGGAGGTTCAGCTAGGGATGTGAAAATATCCTCGACGATACGTGCTTGAGGCGATTCGAATTAATAACAGAGCTGCGTCAGCTAGAGCCTTCATTTGGTGCTCGTCTAGAGTAGGAAGTAGACTGTTCAGTTGGTAAAGTAGCGCAATATACGTGTGGTGGTTGAAGTCTTACTAGGTGCTCGTGGAATGAAGTGCTACGGCGGCAACACTGGCCAGCGGGAATAGCATGTCCTGAAGCCATTGGTTGAGTTCTCTATGAATAGACTGGACGGTCTCTTCCTTTTCCTCGTGATCCATCGGCGAATTCTCCGGCTGGGTGTATACCGACTTTTGTATTCGGCTGGCAGTTCTGCGGAGCTTCGAATTGTGTAACGGAATTGTCATGGAAGACAGTTGCAAAGGCTCTCGGTCTGAGACTCCGTCGGTCGAGATGTCATAATCGTCAATTGCTGCAAAGAGCTGGCTCTGTCAGTCCAAGATACTTGTATAGATTGCTGTGTGGGCGTATGTACCGATATGTCAATGTCATCGTCGGGAATGGCAAGTGGCCTGCCGAGAGTTGTCGAAATGACGCTGTGCCGTGTGTAGTTATTAGACGCAGGCACTCTATATTTGGTTACTGCTTGTACAATCATTGGTTCATTATGAATAGGGAGAAAAATAACCGCTTTCGCCGTTCTGCCACCTCTAATGGAAGTCCCTCGAAAAAGGCAGATGAGATGAAGACCCATACCGGGGGCGGCCCGAGATGCCACTCCAGCCAAGAGCCATGTATGTGGATGCCTTGACTGCACTTCTTGGACAAGAAGTCTCCCAAGAAATACTGACTTGGATCCAGCTGATTGAACAGCGAGTAAACTCATCGCAGGATTACGACTTAGATGGGGTGTTGATACGTCAACAGTCCAGCCCGATCATCCTCAAAGCCGATGACACGTGCGATGCTGTCAGGTGCGGAAGCCGACTTTGAGTTACTAGGGCCCTTTCATAGCAGCGCGAGGACTCTGGCTCGGCACTCAAGTCCACAGAACAGTAAGCTGTTGATCCGATTGCCAGTACCATACATATTCTAAAAAGACATAAAAGAGACTGGGACACGGTAACATGCGGCTCTGGATGCAGCTTGCCCAGACCCGCCATGAACTCAGCTCCATCAACCACGGGGTAGATAATGTGAGAGTGGCAGAGTAAAACTCGATCAATTGGTCAAAGTGTTTGGCGTCTATAGACTATAGGCGGGCCTAGATTTGAAGCAGCACTCGGCGCTAGGTGAGCATCACCAATAGTCAGTGCTCCAAGGATTGACTGTGAAAGCTGAGCGAAGCAAAGACCAGAAGAGGGCTCAAGGTAGCCTTGGTTCTCGGCATCCGGTAGCATGTGTTTAGCGCATCATCCAGGCTCCAAGCATTGGCTTGGTGAGGCTCTGTATCAGTCACGGACGCGTCTTCGAACAGACTTGTTTTGGCGCAAACAGGTCCGTTAAGTATGAAATAAGGGACTTCTCTTGAATTACCCTGGATGTACATGTCGTTGCCACCACCACAAGTCGCCTAGAAAGCTACATGGTGCGGCAGATCGACGGTAGTTTCCGCATTGAAGTAAGCTGCGGTCGCATCGCTTTTTGCGTTTATGGCAACGGAAGCAAGAGGTTCTGGCTTCTCCAGCTGGCTTCTGTACCGGCATCAAGCTCACGGCGAGTCATGCGGCGCACTTGGATATGCAGTATCAACGGTAGACATTTGTCGCGGGGTGTTGGCAGTTGGTTTTTGGTTTGAAGTCAGGGACATTAAAGTTCACAAGGGTGCCGATGTAAACGACCAGGATGAACGATGATATCGAAGTGGGAACACTTACTAAGCTAGTAATCGCTCCCTGACTGGTCTGGTAAGTTGACCATTCCGTATTAGGAGCATGTCGCCGACGATTCATGCCCAATGCCTCCTGGAGTCGTTGGGAAGTACACCAGGGACCTGGGTACCTCGGCTACTGTGAAGTAAGTACTAACGGAAGTGCCTTTATTTTAGTGTATACAAAGCAGTGCAGTGCAATATAGTACTAAAGTAAGTACCTAGGTAGGTAACTACTTAGCGAGTACTTAAGTAAGTACCTTTTAGCTATTCAGCAAATACTTAAGTAAGTATGCACTAACTACTAGATAGCTAAAAGGTACTTACTTAAGTACTCGCTAAGTAGTTACCTACCTAGGTACTTACTTTAGTACTATATTGTACTACACTGCTTTGTACACACTAAAATAAAGGCACTTCCGTTAGTACTTAAGTACTCAAGTTCTCAGTAAGGAAGTACTTGAGTGAGTACTTACAGCAGGAGCTGGCAACAAGACCAGCACCGTGACGAGGGCTGCAGTGACAGGGATCGGAATGGCTTCGTCCCCTCCCCCGAGCATAGAGCCAGCTTTGGGGCTGTGAAGGACAATGCAGATGACTGCTCAGGCTTGCGAGTTCAGGCTTCTGTCGGGACCCCGGCATCATGCCGTGTAACCTGTTATTGCAGTGGGCGGACCATCCGTCCTTTCATGTGCTACGGAGCATATTTGTCGCCATGACCCCTCCAATCCATCCTCGGCTGCCTCATCATTGCCGTCATGGCACACATCGCCTTGGCCGTCGTCTTCGCCCTTGCAGCTATTCTGCTCTTCGAATACCTTCTCTTGCGTCCGTTGTTCTCGAGTCCGCTGAGCCGTGTTCCAGGGCCCAAGCTGTACGCCCTCACCAGGTGGCGACTCGCTTACGAGGACTGGAAAGGCACTCGCACACGTACCATTCATCTGCTTCACCAGAAATATGGACCGGTGGTTCGAGTCGGGCCCGACGAACTCTCCTTTAGTAGCTCAACGGCACTGCGCACCATCTACGGAGCAGGAAGCCAGTTTGGGAGAACGTGCTTCTACCGCATGTTTGACGTCTATGGCCAACAGAACCTGTTTTCGTTCCACTCGACCAGGGAACACGGCGACAGGAAAAGACTCCTCTCCCACATGTACTCGAAATCCGCTGTGCTCAAGGAATCAACGAGCTGCATGCTGGAAGAAAAGGCAGGTGAATACTTGAAACTAATCGAGTCCGAGCCACACGGCATCAGCAACGTCTTCACCTCGTTGCACTATTACTCCTTGGATGTCATCACAACCTTCATCTACGGCAGCTATGGCGGCACATCTGCCCTGAAGGGATCCAAGCCTCACCAAGCCCTGATCAGCGACATCGTGCACCCGTCTCGACGGAGGCTGTCCTGGTTCTGGGTGCACTTGCCGGCATTCACGAAATGGCTATACTCGCGCCAGGCCTTGCTCGGCCGGCTCGTACGGCCTGTCCTCCCAATGCAGAGACCAACCACGTACACCGGCATTCGAAATTTCGCTCTCGACTCGGTCAACAGATTCCTGCATCATCACAGAGGTGGCAAGGAATGTCGCGACGCGGATGGTAGGTCCACGGCTCCCGACAACCGTAGCATGCATATCGCAGGAGGGTTGCTCACCAGAGGTGTCCCGACAGGAGCAGTGTCAACTCTCAGTCAACTCTGGAAGCACCATGAATCCCAAAGAGCAGACGGCCTGACCGACTTGCAAATGGCATCCGAGTGCGCCGATCATTTCCTAGCCGGCATCGACACCACCAGCGATACCCTGATGTTCCTCATCTGGGTGCTGTCTCTGCCCGTCAATCTCGGGTATCAGGAGAGGCTGAGAGACGAGGTGCTCAGCATCGCCGATGAATCGCTGAACAAGCACGGCACCCCGCGGGCCGAAGCCGGCGATCGATGTGTGTTTCTCAATGCCGTCACGAAGGAAGCGTTGAGACTGTACGCTCCCCTGCCGAGTTCCGAGCCCAGATCAGTTGACGCCGAGTCCGTGATTGACGGATACGTCGTCCCGGCCCACACGGTGGTGAGTATGTCACCGTGGACGCTGCATCGCAATTCAGAGGTGTTCAAGGACCCGTTGACATTCAACCCCGAGCGCTGGCTAGGGCCCGATGCTGCCGAGTTAAACCGCTGGTTCTGGGCCTTTTCAAGCGGTGGAAGAATGTGCATCGGCATGCAGTAAGTGACAGATCCCCCTGGGCAGCGTCCAAAGAGACGCGGCACTCTCATCCACCGACTTGGTTGGTTTGGTGTGCAGGCAGGGCTGACGGGAGAAAGTCTGGCCATGGCTGAAATGACGACCCTCCTTGCGACACTCTACCGGCGGTACAGGACCTCGATAGCGCTGGGGTTCGAGGACATCTCCCCCGGAATTACCGCTCGAGTTGAGACTTTTTGGGACGACCGATTCTCTCGCGTTTTGGTTGGTGTCTCCCTGCCCCTTTGGAAGAAGCAACGCCTTGCTAAGGTTACAATGTTGCAGGAGAATACGTGCCTGATCAAGTTTGACAAGCTTTAGGCTACCATTGACTTCTTGGGATGTCTGTCATGTTGTTAGTGCTGGTGGTTCGACGGGTCATCTACCTGACGAATAAATACCTCTTGGGTTTATATTTGACGTATTGGAGAATGACTGGCAAACCCGCATGAAATCTCCTTTAAAAAAAGCACATGTTCTCAAAAGTGTCGCATCAGAAAGTTGCTTTGTGTCGTAAATGCGTTTAGACGCTGACAGTCCCTAAAAGGGCACGCAAAGTTGGGAGCAAGGTTCATAGTTATGGTTATCCTAAGCTTCAACCGATTCAGGATGGTAATACTCATTGATGTAGTTGGTGCTATTAGCGTGCAATTTGTATTGGCTTAAACTCAGCCTTAAGTAGTCTCTCGCGATGCTGACTGTTTAGTATAAGCAGAACGTCGTCAGAAATAGGAACAAACCTAGTATTCTTGTAGATAATCTAATAGGTCTTAGTCACTATAGAATAAGAAGAAGCAAGTTTAACATTGACGATGCTGGGAGGATTCCCCCCCGGTGAGCGTGATAAATGCTTCTATCCCTATTATTGATATCATCTTGGAATGTCGCGTGCATTCTACATTGCTCTAGCTTGGCACTGAGTAGCCGCTCTTAATGCTGTCATAATTAGTGACGAGAACTAAAAGGCCAGCATATAGAGACAAACCTGATATCCTTCTATATAGTTGAGTATGCCACGGTAGTCTTGGAAAGGAGCTAAGCAGGTCTGGCACTAGCGATGATGTATATATTCCTTTGCCTTGTCCAACGTGTTGATGGCAAAGAAATAATATGTATAAATAATGTATGTGTATTTTTCATCCAGCGGGCCTTAGGCCACATGACAGCCTGGACGCTCACCGCCTTGCTGACAGGTCCCCGTGATGGCCTTGGTTGATTGGACGTAGACAATGACAGAGCATGTAACATAAAAAAAGCTAAGGTTACTTATCTCGTTATTTCCAAGCAGCTAACTCTGCTAATCACTATAAACTGAAAAATGCCTTTAGAAAGCGACGACTACAGTCGCACATTAGCTTGCATCTGCAAATGCTGCTACTATAATTTTCCTAATTTA